ACCACGAGAACTGCTACCATGTCAAATAAATCAATATCATATCAAGAAGCAAGTTGAAAAATAAGAAACGTATTTTTTCACATTTTTTATTGAAACTTAACAACACGTGCACAGCATTACAACGGCATCCATAGCTCGCACACAGAGAGAGAGAGAACTTGGTGTTGCCAACATGGTAAATATAAATGTACCAAACTAACAGAAATACATGGTCAATAACGTGTTGTGGCATACTGGAGGAAGTGCTTATCTAAACCAGAGAGGAATTACTGTGTCACCAGGAAAGTGCTGCTAGCCATAATGAAAGCCATAGGACATTTCCAGCATTACCATCTGTGACAGAAAGTTCCTGCTCTGGACAGATCGTAGATCTTGCTCTTAAATTCAAGAATTTTGAAGGCCAAACAGCTGGATGGATACAGAGACTCAAGAAATGTGATATCTATATCTGGCAATGGAAAGGAAAGTCCTGCCTAAAAGACCATGCTTAGAAAGTTGCCAAAATTGTTTCAAGTTCCAAGCAAAATATGAGCACATCAAGTTACAACAACACTGTCTGGCCCAGACCAGTGGAGAGGTGAAGTCAGGAAAGATGAGTTGGAAGACGGCAACATTGAATCCATAATTGACTTAGTAAAGTCTTCAAATAGGAATACCTGCCAGAACATTTTGATGTATTGTCCTAAGACAGAACAATATACAATATTGGGCTCTCTGGGACTCACTACATATTTAAAATGGCATCTTATACTGGAAGTTTGAATCAGATGATGATAAGGCATTCCATTGGCAGCTTGTACTTCGAAGATCCCACACATCCTTAAAAACTTATATAGCAGTCCAGCAGGAGGCCACTTTGTATCTAAACCAGTTTGGGAGCACTTCTACTGGTGTAATGCAAGGGCTGACGTGCAAAAATGGTGCCAATCTTGCAATGACTTTGCGGGCTGGAAAGGATCGAAGAAACACAATCAAGGGGAGCTGCAGTGCTACAATGTAGAAGTGCCTTTTGAATCTTCACCTTTAACATCACCTTTAACATCCTTGGACCTCTGCCATGAATGCTGATGGCAACAAATACATCCTTGCTGTCATTGAATGCTTCACCAAGTGGCCTGAATCTGGTGTATGCATCACCAAGTGGCCTGAAGCATATCCTGCTCCTGATCAAGAGGCTGTTACATTAGCAGAAGTAATGATACACCATTATATTTCCAGTTGTGGAGTGCCTCTTCAGTTGCATTCCAATCAAGAAAGGAATTTTAGCTCGGGTGTAATGAAAGAACTCTGTAAACTACTTAGCACAGACAAAACCCCAACAACACTTTTACATCCACAGTCAGACAGCATGGTAGAAAGGTTTAGTCAAATCATTCTTAATAACCTATTACTGATGGTTTCAAGAAACCATACGGTACTACTACCTCTGTTCTTATTAGCTTATCGCACTGCTGTTCATGACTATTTCTCACTCCAGATGCTCTTTGGTCATGACCGTCATCTGCATCGTGATCTGTTAGGTGACCACTCTCCATATGCCCTTCATTGTGTGAGGAATACATTTAGGATCAAGGCACGGTTTGAAGTGATGCACATTTTTGCACACTATCAAGTCATCTTGGCAACGAAGAAGATAAAGACCCAATATTATACAAGAGCTACAGGACATCGATTCAATGAAGGTGACAAGGTGGTGGTTATAGAATCCAATTCAACAGAAAGAACTTTCTCTTAAACTACTTCAGACCTTGGTATGGTCCTTACACAATCCTAAACAGGCTGAACGACATCATAATCCAATTCGTAAGTCGTCTAATTCTATGCTTGAAGTCGTTCATTACAACAGGCTTGTCCCTAACTATGGCCATATTACATAGTCCACATGGTATATATAATGTAAATAGTATACTGAGACCATGTTCCTATTTGGTTATAAATATGCAAATTTATGCATGTATTTATTGATGTAGTAGTTGATTTGTTACATGTTATTTGAAATCATTTTTTTAGTATTACATTGGTTTTCATTAGTTGTAATTATGGCTTCCTGTGTAGGGATTGTACTGCCCAAGACAGGCAGTCCTTGGAAAGGGAGTAATGTTACAGATTGTTATATATGTAAATAATTTTAATGAAACTGTAGTGTCTTTTTTATAATGTAAAGCTGTACCAGAAAATAATGTTGATTGGTCTGATCCTCATATGTACCTGTAACTGGATCCAGCATTTATATATAACTTTATATACCTTCCAATTATTTTGAGAAATCAAAGGTACTGGAAATTTCTCAGCAGATCGGAGAAAACAATATAAGATCTGAGAGCATCAATTCTCAGTGTAGTTCAGAGTTTAGCTTGCAGTATTTGGAGTACTGAGAGACCATTCTATGAGCTTACGCTCTGATACTTTGTATATTGTTGTGTGCTTAATCTTAGTAGTTTGAAGTGGTAACTACATATTGCTCTGTCATATTGAAAAGAGCTGCATAAGTACTTTTATGAAAAGCTCCAGAACTATAAAGTGTTTCTTTTGGGAAAATAAAGTTCATCAAGCTATCATCGGTTCTGTCTGCCACTACCACTCCATATGCACATAACAATATTTTCATGAAATTTAATACAGTACAAAGTCTGAGATCCAGAATTGTTGGGTCTTTGTTAATTCCAGATTTTTTATATTTCCAGATTTTAGTTTATCACTTTAAATCTAGTAAGATGATGTGTAGGCACTGCAACATTGCATCTTACTTTACTCTTTAGGTTAGATAAAAAAAAATGTTAACTCCCTATAGCAACTAAAGTGAGCCTTCTCAGTACTTTTTGTCCCATGCACTTCTTTCATCACTGAAGATCATCTCCCCCTCCTTCCCAAACTTGAAAATACATGTATACTTATTTGGATTTAGATTGTTGTCTTACATGTTTTATAAATTAAATAAAAAAAGTATAGTAAATATCAGTAAATGCTAAAACATGAAGAAAAGTAGTTTTTTTATATTCATAACATAAAACTAAATATTTAGCAACTAAATAAAAAGCTGACTGCATTTCTCCCTGAAACTTGCTAAATATTTATCAAAAAATATGTAAACAATAGTAATTATAATAATGCAAAGGAAAATGCAAATTTATATTTATTTTCTATCTGAAATTTAGAGGTTAGTACATGTGAGAAATTTCTTTAGACTAATATTTTTAATTTGTCTAAACACAACTTTAAAAAGTTATGTACATTCTAAACGTATATGTAAGGTAGATCTAATTAAAAGCAAAATAAAATAATATATGTGCTGTATGATACTTTGTGTCTATTAGCAGTATGAACTGTACAGCTGTACAAAAAACTGATCAACTAGTGATTGATTTAAAGTATACATCAGAGGTTCCAATTCTAGAAAAACTGGAAACACCAGAATACTGAAGCACTATCAAGTGTCAACTGGCCAACTAAATTTACTGATTGTACTGATGTTGGAAATTCTTCCCAGTCACTGTTCAGCTGCAGTCATGCGGATAAGCTCAATTCTTATGTTCTGTGTCTCTAAAACTATATGTACAACAACTTACAATAATGCATAATTGTAACGTATTTGTGGGCCTTGTAATGTTACTTCAGGACTGCATGCAGCCTGTGGCCACCAGTTTGAGACCACTATGCTGTATAATAGATTGAGTAGAGTAGGATGATATGATCAAAGTGATGCAAGTTCCCTATCCTCATACATTTTAGTCTGGCCACTAGTAATATGCCTCTCAATGTGGAATGATAAAAGTTTCATGCATAATCCAATAAGATATTTAATAATTCAGTAAGCACTTAGCGAGAAGCTCACTATGGTACAGTTATATATCCTGCTACCCATTTCTGTTTGCTGTCACATGTTAGCTGCATGCTACTTGAGCATTTGTAAAAGTATTTACAGTACCCATACAAAATCAGTGTTTAAAATGAAGATGCAAGAAACAAAATCAGCTAACTACACAGGGTAACCAAAATAAAACTTTCCAGATGTGTATAATTATGATACTAAATGTACCCTTGTCGGTATAGAACTTCCCTTTGCTACAGAGCCCCTTTTGTGCTATTTTCCATTGCATATTTTGCTGGAGTTTTGCCAACACATTTTCCTTAAATATGCTTGGCATAACACTCAACAGTGAACATGCACTGTTTTATCATTAGCATGATTGTGTGTTGCATTTAACTGGCCATCTGTTTTTTTTTGTTTCTACTGGTTAATAAACACATCTGCTCCTTTCATTCAAACAGCTAATTGCTGTCATATGTCTGCAGCTCTGCTGTCAGATCCTTCATGGTCGTACACACTGCTTAATATGATACTCTGACAGTCTCGGTTCTGGGAGTATAAAATACATGGTCCCAGTTCGTACTTTCTGAAAAGGCAGCCTATGACATCCTGGAGAGTAGTGGTGCGAGCCATCCAAGTTGGTAGCTTGATGGCCAGATAGAACTTTTTCAATTTGCTTCCACACCAGTCATGGTCTTCGTGCTCTGAGAAACCAGTTCAGTGTTAATAAGAGAAAGTTCAAAATTAAAAAGTTCACCATCTGTGGATTTGAAAACCAGGGGTATCATGGCAAGTGAAATGTAATAAGTACTTTCCAGTAAGCTTTATCAATTGTGGCAGAATATGTTAGTATGTGTCTGTCCCTTTTTCTGTTGATTACTGTATGTTTTTACAAATTCCCCAAAATGCCTTTTTGAATCAGATTTATATTGGCCACCATGTATTATGATGCATAGTAGAGCCATTTAGTGCATCTGGTTGGTATCTGGGTATTCATTCCTATTAAATGCACTTGCTTTTACATTTTCTACCTTTAGAGACTTCTGAATCTCTTTATATGCTCTCCTTACAGAAATGAAATGAATTTTATACAGATGTATGATCTGATAAAAGGAATCTGTGATAAAAATTATTTGTTTATTTATGTTAATGCTATTGAATAATCTGTAAATATGATATGTATAACTTATAGGTTAGTACGACTGAGAAATCCTTGGGGGCATTATTCGTGGAGGGGAGATTGGTCTGATAGTTCACCTTTATGGACTCCTGAATTACGTGAGCAGTTGATACCTCATGGTGCGGATGAAGGAGTGTTCTGGATGTCCTTTCAAGATGTCTTAAAGTAACTATACATAATAAATATGTATTTACTGCATTATAAATATTGTAAATTACATATAATATTTTATATTATTGATGCACAGGTTTTCATGTAGTTTATCACTTTTATTTAGTTATTTATTTCATAGATGACACCAATGAAATGCTATTTTTAAATATAAAAGTAAATATGAATGCTTAAATGAAAATGATTTCATTAATTAATTTAATAATGCACTATAAACTTAGTGCATTATTAATTAATTAATCAAATTAATTAATATTAATTTCATTATCAATTACGCTCAGGTTAAAGATTAATATTACTAGGTAAGTTGGCAAGTTTCTTCAAAAGTATCACCAAACCATTGGTATTTATCATAACTTGGCAAACATTGTCAACATGTTAAAAATAGAATTTAAAATGCAAAAATGATAATTAACAATACAATTTACAGGTAATACAATAATGCAAATTAAAAATACAAAAATGTACATTAGCATATGATGCATTACTGTTGTGCTTCGCATATGCACAATGATGTATTTTTGCTTAAGAAAGCATCAGATAATTGCATAAATTTGGTGTGCACATTAAGCATTATTTATATTATGTTCATTATTGCTTTTTTCCCTCCTAAACAGCAATCTGTTTTCACTTAAAAAACATCAGAATTGCACAAACTTGCTATTGCGCAGAATCTTGGCATTACGCACATTAAGCATTACATGTTCTGAATTATGTGCATTATTGTTTTTCTACCCATGTGGAATTATATTAAAGCTTTGATTAATGACTATATATTTTGCAGTAAAAATATAAATAAATACAGTAAGACCTTACTTAACACAAATGATTAATCATATAACATGATTTTTTTTAACCTTAAAGCAAAATTCCTCTTTTGCAATATACATCAATAATTTTTGCAATATACAGCAATATTGTTAGAGATAAGTAAGACATTCAATATTGCCATATATTTATCTTCTTAGAAATACTGGTTAGTTTCAGAAATGTCAGATCACACTAGAGAGTTCACTGTAATTGAGATTTTTCAATGTGATATTAAAACTTTATTCAGTTTGAATGATATCTTAGCTTTAGGGATTAGTATACTTCCCATTAAAATTTTATAAATTGTTTTTAAAATTCAGAAATTTATTGCAAGCTATATATTTTTAGGTATTTTGATTGCATTGATATTTGTAAAGTAAAGCCAGATTGGAATGAAGTTCGCTTGCAAGGTGTTCTTCCACCTCACACAGATAAAGAGTGCTTAGCTGTGACTGCACTCACAGTGTTAGATGCAACAGAAGTAGAATTTAGCTTGTTTCAAGAAGGACAAAGGTAAATATTTTTCATATATGTATGTATGATAAAAAAATGTAAATGCAAGTTATGGATGCATTTATATTTCCTAATTATTATCCTTCATCCAGTTTCTTGTATCAAACTATGAAAGAAAGTGTAGAAAAAAATATGAAGTACAGTTTAAAATTATGTCTGTTATTATTCTCATTGTGTTATTGCTGCTTAGTTCAGATAATTTTGCAGCACAATGAAGCATTATCATTTAATACCTGCAGAGTTAATTAATGCTCCTAGTTGTATATTACAAATTCGTATTTTCAGTTTTTTTTTTTTTTTTTTAAATCTAGCAGGTAATTTTATCTTACAAACATAAATTTTGGAGGACCCCCCTTTATGGGGGGAGGGGGAGGTGTAATCCCTGCACATCTAATCTACCAAAATGAAAATTCTGTTCTAATAATAAATAAAATCTCATCAGTAGAAATCTTAACTGTCTTATGTAAAAGCATAAATATGACTATGAATTACCGTAATTTCCGGAAGAAACGCCGCGGCGTTTACGTGTTTAAAACTTAAATTTTCAGTGGGTGCACCGTTTCTACCCATGCGGTGTTTAGGTGCGCTAAAAATAAAATATTTCCTATGATGGTCATTGTACATAGTTTGGATGGCCTTGTCATTGTGCATACACTGGTGCTGTTCCCACACAAAAGAACACTCAGTTGCTTTTTGCGAACGTTATTTTGTTTACATTCTTTCCCTTGAATGGACCTACATGCCTTATTCACCCTAAACGAGATCTCAAAACAATAACATTCTTCCCCCTTTCAAATCAACATTCTCTTCGAATAGTCTCTCTCCTCTGCCATTCGATGAATCTTCCAGGACCCATCCTCTCCCCACCCCTGCCTTTACTGCAATTTTTTTCAAAGGCAGACACGACTCCACCTGCCTCGCAATAACGAACTCTGACGTATTTCCCCTTCAGCATGAATGGATTTTTCTTGGAATTCTGCCAGATACAGATCCCATCAGTTTGGGTACAAGTACTTGTTGGATAGTTTTTAAGACTAGCGTCTACATCCCAAAACGGCAGCCTACGAGAGAGGCAATTCTATTATTTTCATCGGGGAGTAGGGGAGTTAGAATGGTTTTCTGAGGAATGCAACGGCAGTGGACTAGATGTTTGCTTACATTTTGGAAGTTCAAAAAATTGCTAAGGTGGATTGCCTTAGTTTCTATGGTTATTATAGGGAAATATTAGGCAGTTTTTCGGTTTGCTGATATAGGGCAAATACAATTTACCTTTATAATCCGCGTTTATCTATTTAAACTTCAGAAGATTTAAGATGAAGAGAATATATTTAACACACACGAATGCAGCTTAAGACTTGTAAATCTTTTAAAAAACAATACATCGATAATTAAAAATATTATTTATAGTTCATTATTAAAAACTTAACTGGTATGTCATATATCAGGACTCAGATTGAGTTTTTGCATCTATACGGCCCACGACGATGTCACGCACAATTTAATCTATTGCGGCGTTTCTGTGTAATTTTAATTTTTTTACCCCCAATTTTCTCGAGTGCGGCGTTTACACTGATGCGGCCTTTCTTCCGGAAATTACGGTATTCCTTACATTATTTAAATGTAGCTTAAAGATTACATTTTTTAAGTGTAGATTAAAGATTCCAAATCCTTTTCTTGCATCGAGCTCTTTTAAAAGAATGGTTTTCTTCATAGACAGCCTTACACATTTTCTCTATAGCATAAAGCATGCAACATAATACAAATAGTTGCACATAAATAACTCAGATACAAAATTAGACTTATCCTTTGAAGAAATTTTATTGCAGCGTGTTTTGAAAATTTGATTATGTAATGAAATTTAATCACTACAAATTTTAAATTATATAGTATTCAAACTATTTCATTCAAAATTTATGGTGGGTTCACAAAGTGGATAAAAATTTGAATTTACTGCACATTTAACTTACTAAGGATCAATGCTCTGATTGGGGCTGCGAATTTTTTTTGGGGGGGAAGGGGTTAGGGTTGTCATTTGCATTTTATGGTGTTACACTGCCATAAAGTTTTAATACCACTGAAGTAATTTATTAAGTATTTAATATTATATATATATATATATATATATTTACAAATGGCGGGCACTTGCCTATAACGGCATTGGCCACTACTAAGGCTACTACTACTACGTTATTGGTTGCTTATGTAACTGTACTAGCCAATAGGATGAATTGGTTGCTTACGTAACTGTACTAGCCAATAGGATGAAGTTGCCACAGCACATGTTTACCGTTTCAATTAAGACGTAGACAATTTCCTGTAAAACTTGCCTTTGCTATGACTATCAATAAGTGTCAGGGCCAACCGCTTAAGCGTGTTGGCATTTTTTTTACCTGAGCCTGCATTTGGACACGGTCAACTTTATGTTGCCTATTCAAGAGTTCGTGAAAGAACGGACATAAAATTAAAAATAATTGATGGTCCTCTGCAAGGCGAGCTTAAAAATGATGGAAAGATCTACACAAGAAATGTTGTGAACAAAGAGATCTTTGACATGTGAACATTTAACATTTCGTTATTTAAATCACCTTTACTGATTGAGCTAGTGGTGGGCTCTTAAGAAATGTACCGCCAGTGGTTTCCTTCATTGCACTCTACTTTAAGCAATTAAGCAAGTAGAAAGGGGAAACTCCGTGGGCCAGCAAGAAAAGGGGCGTCCTTGCTGCCTGCTGTGGGTAATTCAGTTTAAATTAGCAGACACCTTTGCATAAATCATTTCAATTACAATTTATACTATCTAGAACAGCAGTCATTTCGTATGACCGCCAAGCTTTCTAGTAATAAAGATAATTGAACATAAATAACTCAAATGCAAAATTACACGAAGAATACAAAAAAAAAAGTGTTTATTAGAGTTAGTTTGTGTTATTTTTCTGTTATTAGTTTTAATTTTTCAAATACAAACATTTTCAGAAATGAAATCAATCTAATTGCATGAAAATTTGATTTTAATTAATGTCATGCCTGCGCTTAATGTATTGATGCTGTAATGTTAATATTTGGCATAAAATTGTGTAAGTTAAAAAATATTCAACCTGTTATTTATTTTCCTTAGTAAATTATTGACTTAACTAAAGCCTGTTTCTGCTAGTTAAGGACATGGGAAAGTCATTAATGTTGGCTCAGTAACAGCTTTTATTTTGGGATATTTCTTGATTTTTAATTTTCAAAACTTACTGTAACCATATGTTTTGAATAAGACTTGTGCTCAAACATGCTCCTCCAATGCATTCAACTCTTCTTGCATCGTAATATCCTATGAGCCATGTTCACATATTCAAATTTTCAGAATCTTGGAATAGAGCATTAAAATCTTTTAAATTTTGCAAGTGGTTTACATGAAAAAGTATTTTCTGACGAAGTTTTGCTTCATCGTGTTTCTTTGGCTGTGACTTTTTTTCTTTGTTTTGTGTATTCCTGCATTTTACGTTTTTATATTGCACTTTCACATAAAAATTTACGCATTTAAAAAATATATTATTGATTTCAAAAATATATTAAATAAATTTTATGCATTTCTCTCTTGAATTTATGTAATATGATTTCTTTGTTACTACATGATATAACTTTATATAAATAACATTCAATGACCATTTTATTTATATTTTTTGCATTCAGTGAAGTCTTGATTATGCCACTCAATTACCAGCTATAAATTCCCTTGATCATTATTGACCCCTACGGGGTCAGTATCAACCGTCTAAGAAATCTTTGATTTAGCTTAATGCAAAAATAATGTATCTAGCTTAATGCAAATGTAAAAATAATGTATTTAGCTTAATGCAAAAATAATGTCTATCTTTACAAGACTAATTCTTTTTGTTATAATTGTTAAAATAATGCTGGTATTTTAAATCTGTAAAAAGAGTTAAATTCATAACGAGTTTGTGCTTCAGCAATTTATATTAACCAGTGCTGGCACTTTTATTTGTGTATAACGTAAGATAGTTTTCTCATTTTTCTTCTTCCTGTACTTCTCTAAGTTCATAACCCAACGAATGAGCCATCTGAGTGTTTTTGTGGTTTTTCTCATGTGTTTGTAAATACCAGACATGTCCCTTAGTTTCCTATGAAAGCATTCTCATTCTCTTCTTTAGGCAGATAGTTCTCAAATGCTTTGCCTTAATCCACTAAGAAACCCTTAGTTCCAATAATACAAGATATTTATTCCAGCCAGTAGTATTATCCATTGTAGCTGTCAAAATATCATTGGATTAGCTTCTTGCATCAGTTGTAAACAAACTGCATGGTTATTGTTAACAAACAAACCACATGGCTATTATTGATATGAAAAGCTTTCTTTAAATCAGTTGCCTTTTCTCATTCTTATCTTATATAGATTTTACAGTGTTCCACTATATGTTTTCTTTAATGATATATAATTTTATTACATTAGGCACCGCTTAATGTGTCCATGGCTATTTTGATAACATTAAATTCTGAGAAAAAATATCCTTCAAAATAGCAATAGAATTTCATTGACTTAATATAAAAATATCAAGAAACATTAAATAGGTATTTTTACCGTATATTAATTATAGGAAAGTGGTAAAATTTGAATGCTGTTTCTGGAAATAATTTGACTGGTGTTGTTCCCCTAATATTATTATTTGAAAGGCATCTGTCATTGGAAGAGAACATGCAAATGTAAAATTTCAAATTAAGCAAGGAAGCAACCTTAATGTGTCGTAAATGTTTCCAGAATGCAGATCTTTGTTTTTCTTCCTTTAAGGCGAAAGGAGTGTTTAATCGCCCTCAAAACTGGTTTCAGAAATCAAAATCTACTCCAAGCCAAGTGGTTTTTTTTTTTTTTTTTTTTTTTTTTTTTTGGGAAAGCCAAATTTTAAGTGGTTTACTAAAATCAAAACCAAGCCGTTTGGTGACTTAATCACTCACTTGATGTTTATCTTACACGTGCCGTTTTTATAATCTATTTTATTTTAATTTCAAAAGTTTATTCTATAGCATATTAACCAAATTGTTGATCATAGTAAGCAATGTATTTTCCATGTTTTTGTGCACAAATTGGCGGAACTTTAGCAAATCAATAACATTAACTGTGATCACATTAAGCTGAATTTACTTATTGCATACAAGACCTGAAACATTCATCAGTGATTTTCATAAAAGTGGATAACTTCCATTTTGTTGTTTGCTAGATCACAAAGATCCATTAAGAATGTAAGAAATATAAAACATATCAAAGCTAACACATTAAGACTAAATAATGCTTAAAAAGCTTCAGATCTTATCGGAGTAGTTGGAACAAAGAGTTTCATTTATTGGCAATTTTTTGTCTTATTTCAGCTTTGTTGAAATCCATGGTAAGAATTAATATGTAAATATGCCAAATTATAACAAAGAGGATGTGCTGCTGTTTTTATAAAGGATTTAAATTCTCAAAACATGTACAAGATGTTGTTTTTGCCCCAAGGTGTATTTTGTGACTTCAACAAATATGAACTTTCAAGATTTCTATCATGCTTTGATCATTATATTTGTAATTGTTATGATCTCATTCATTTAGAAGGTACTTGAATATATTCCACTGTAAAAGTGAGAAGTTAGTTCAGTCTTACTTTTGAAGAAACAATTACTAAGTAAAACTGTAGTGAAAAACTTTACAACTGAAATCTTTTTAAGAATGTAATTTATAATTTTTATTAATTCATGAAACTAAAAGATGCCTGAGATATTAAAATAAATGCTTTGTGTTTCTCAGATAAATTACATGAAAGAATTAAAATCTAGATATAGTCTATGTTTAATGAGTTAAAAATCAGTATTAAATAAAATTATTGCTTTACAAAACAAAAACTAAAGCGTTACTAATTTTTCAATTATTTAATATTAAAAACTGAAAATAGGCAAGGTTGTGTAAAAAATTATGCATTAACTAGAAGTTCTAAACATTTTATCTCATTTTAAAATGTAGCTTTTCCAAAATATAATTATTATTTTAAAAACATTTTCATATGAAATAAGATCTTTTTGCAGACATATAGAATTAGATTTAATTTAAAAGTTATGTCTGAAAAATTGACTCTTGAGAAATGTAAATTGCAATAAGTGTTGTAGAATTTCTGTATATGTTCCCCTTATCTCAGCACTCAGAGGGCATGCATCGTTGGAAAAGAGCTTGCCAATACAAAATTCAAAATTAGGAAAAAAAAAAAAAAAAATCTTTAGTGTGGCATAGATATTTTCAGAGAAAACATTTTAAAATGTTTTTTCTTTAAGATGATAAACCTATGTGTGATCACTGTCAAAATAGATAAAAGTTATTGAAAATCAGACTAAAATTTTTGTGTAGTTTTAAATGATTGAATAAAATCTAAAGCATACTGTGTGGCAACTTAATCCTTTACTTAGCAACATTTTGCTGTCACTTGGCAAGTTTTATAAACAATTTTGAACTTGCTTGTCAGTGTTAGTTTAAAAAATTTATCCTCCAATATTTTAATTGTGTTAACTGATCTGTTGATCACAATAAGCAGTGTCATTTCTATGTTTTCATATACAAATGGGTGGAACTTTTCACCATTCAATAGCAATTTCTGAATGATAACATTAACCATGATCACATTAAGCAGCATCTACTGCAATGATTTTATTAAAATAAATTATTTAGACCAATAATCATTAGAATGTAAAGATAATCTTCATTTGATTTTTGCTATAAATTATTATTAAAATTTTTACTAGTGTCTTATTCTAAATAGTAAACTTTTGGCAGGTACCTGATAAATTTTTGTGGGGATCTCATTATAGCTTAATTTCAGCTGTTATGAAGACAATTACATTGGCAGTTTGGCTGATATACTTTCATTTATTTCTTGTGGATACTATCTAGTTAATTCCTTGCAATATAGTTTCAATGTAATAGGTAAAGCAGCAACAGCAAGTAAACTGTATAGCTTCTGTTTCACTCTTCAGTTAATCAAATCTAACTGGGATGAAAATAACTAACTAAAGAAAATAAAAAGTTTGAAAATACCACCACTGTTTGAAAAATGAACATAGAAACTTTAAACGATGGTTACAACTGGGAGACATGCAGGTAACTTATTACCATTTATTATGCCTTCTAAAGCTCTCAGCCCAGGATAAGACACAAGTAAAATTTTTATCTTCTATAAACTAAGTTGAATGCATTAGTGTATTTTGCACTCTTTAAGGAATGCTGAACGGTCTCAACGATCACAATTGGATTTGTGTGTTGTGGTCTTCCGTACTTCTGATCCATCTAGAGGGCAAGTTGGAGCTCTGATCAAGCACAGCAAACGACAAGTCAGAGGTTTTGTTGGTTGTCATGCAATGCTGGAACCTGGAATGTACATAGTTGTTTGCCTTGCCTTCAACCATTGGCATACTAGTAAGAATTTGCTGAGGTAGTTTTTATGCATGTATTTTCCTAAATATATTCAACTGCACAATTAAAGTTTTTTCTCCATACTATTTTAAATTTTTGCTATAGCTAGAGAATGTGTATATGGGAGCTGAAGGAAAGTTTTAATGAAAAACTAAATCCTGGTTTATAAATGTTTATGTTATTTAATGTTAAGTATATTATTAATTCTTTTGTCTGATATTAAAAATAGAATAGACTTGATTTTTTCCAATACAAATTTATAATATTTATTTTCTCTATCAGTAAAATTTGATGTCTTAAATAGTGTTTAATTTCAGCCATAGTAATATACATGTATAGAATTCTACCTAAATGAGTAAATTTCCAAGCATGTTGAATACATTTTTAATGTATGAAATTATATTTTGTATTCTTTTATATTTTTAGGTTTAAATTCTTTTGAACAATTTCCAAGATTTTTATTAGCTATTCACAGCTCCAAACGTCTTCTTGTGGAAAAAGTTCTTCCAATGCCTCATATTCTAGCAGATGCCATTATTCTTTTAACTGTTGCTAAAGGGCAACGCCATGAGGTAATTATCATGTACATCTTTTAAGAAGCATTACAACTTGTAAGAAGTATTTTATTATTAAAATGTCACTGACATTTTCTGTTGATACTTTACTTACATTTTAATAACTTATTGCTTAGAAAGTGTGTTTTAATAACTCGATATGTAATAATTATATTTTTTTAGAAATGCATTTTACACTGATACATCTTTGTTCTTTAATTCTGACATCTGTTAAAAATGTAATAGTTGTTTTATGTTGAAGCTGTAAAATATCTGTATGCTTAAAGAAACTGTAGCTTGGGATAATATAAATTTGTTTTAAAGAATGCCTTTCCAAAACTTGATTTGTATTGTATGAATGCTTATTAATTTTTGGGTTGGCAACTAAGTTTCCACTCTTTTTAATAATGTTTGTTAAAAGGTTATTTTTAAATAAACATATACTTTTAGTTAATTAAGAATGTATTCTCTTTTGTTGTCTACAACGTTTTCCCAATGTTTAACAAGTTTTTCAATACCTCGTTGGTAGAAATCATCTGTTTGAGACTCGAAAAAGTCATCCAACCCAGCTCTCATTTCTGTATCAGTACTGAAAGAAATTCCCCACATAGCATTTGAAAGAGGTGAAAATCCGTTGGTGCCAAATCGGGAGAGTATAGTGGGTGTGGCAGCACTTCCCAACCATAAATTTAAATGGCTTCCTTGGTCATATTGGCGATATGAGGTTGGGCGTTGTTGTGCAACAAAAGAACACTGTGCTGCCGATTAGGACCTTTCTCTTGAATAGCTGTGTTAAGTCATTCCATTTGTTGCACATAGAGTGCCATGTTGATCATTTGGTTCCTTTCAAGGAATTCGAAATGGAGAATCCCTTCCCAGTCCCACCATACACACAACATCGTTTTACGCGGATGAACGTCCTGTTTCACGTTTGGGGTGACTTGTTTTTACCGGGGCTAAGCCATTCCTTACGCTGCTTCACATTTATGTATAGAGCCACCATTTTTCATCACTAGTAATGATTTGGTGAAGATATTGTTCCTTGTATCCATTGGTTGCACGGTGACGAGCAAGCAAACCAGGGGATATTGTCGCTCGTTGATTTTTGTTGGTGACACTTAAAGTGTGAGGCACCCCGGTTCCACATTTCTGAACTTTGCTCATCGAGTGAAGATGCTTCTCTACAGTAGTGTGGAAGCAATCCATTGTCTCTGCCAGTTCCCTTGTTGTTTGACGTGGATTTTAATGCAAAAGGTGGTTCAATCATTTTTCATCAAACTCAACTGGATGGCCAGAACAAAGTGTATCTTTGAGGTTAAAATTTTCTTTTTTGAACTTTGCTACCAATCACGGGCTCTTTTAGCTATAGCACCCACTCTGTACACAGCACAAATGTTGCAAGCAGCTTCTGCGGCCTTAGAATTTTTATTAAAGGAAAAAAGAAGGAGGTGTCGAAAATGCTCATTCTTCTCAATTTGACATTCCATGTTAATGATCTGTAAATAACAAGAAAATGTATCTTAGTAACAACGAAACATATATTTAGGTAGAACAATATATTCTCTTTGGAATGATGTGCCAAATGTATTTAATGTAATGCAGATTTTTTCAATTTAAAAAAAGGCGGGAACTTAGTTGCCAAACCAATACGTTAACGTAAACATACATTTTCAGTTGGTATTTCATTTGGGATTATTAACATCCTTATCTAAAAGATACTGGCAAATTCACATCACAAATTTGTCAGTTCAAAATTAACCATAAAGCAAACTGTTTGTTATTTTTTAAATGATTTTATATGAAAATTATTCTCATTTCTGGATAAAAAAACAAAGCAACAGCAAATTCATTACTTATAATGTATTTGAGATTGTCGCAACAATAACTATATAATTTCTTCATGAAATTAACATATAACAGCATTTTAAAGTTTTCTGTTGATATTGCAATATAAAAGACCAAATGATTCTGTATCAAGATACATAATACATGTACCAGAAACATCATTTTTGCTGGGATCCATGTTTGGAGATTTTCCATGTATATCCAGTTGGTAAGGTTTCATTTGTTTACAACTGATACATTTAAGTATGAAATATTTACTTGAATTTAATTTCATTTTCATGATTTTAGAACACAAAAGTCCAAGATCTGGAATCAATATGATTTGGATGATTCTAGATCACCCAATAAGGCCAGTGCAGCCTTACCAGTTAGAAAATTTATAGTGGCAAAAATTTTAGAACTTAGAAGAACACCAAGAAGTAAAAATCAGAGGTGGCAAATTTTTTTAGAATTTAGATGAGGCACCAAACTGGCAGTAAAATTTAGAGCTTGCAAAGATTGCACCGAGTGGTAAGATTCATTGCACTCGCCCTGTGCCTCCTATAGCCACTCAAACATTGAAAGTGCTCTCCTGGTCAACATCAAACACAACATAATTCAGAATGTTGTTATTGGCTGGGTGATGCTGCTTAGCTAATAGTAACACATGGAAGAATCTGTTATTTGGGAGAAAAACTGCATTTACAACATATTTCTTTTTCCTCCCTCTTTTGAGTATTATAACTTTTATTCCACGATTTTATATAGGAAAGGGGAAAATTATATCATTTTTTCGATATTTTATGTTATCTTTTTATTGATTAATCGTTCAGATATCATTCTGGATATTGGACGTCCAGATTTCATACTTTGTACTGCATTGTTGATTTTCCTTGGTAAGTGCAGCTGGCTATTTATTTCATGCATTTGTAATTACATCTCATAAAGCTAAGCAAAGAAAATGCACCTTGTATTAAAAGAGCATTGGGAATCATTGTGGTAAATTTATTGTTGGACTCGTATAGAATATTTTGCACAGTGGCATTCAAAATAAATCGTAACTGCCATGTCAACCAAATTGGAATCTTAAAAAAAAAAAAAAAAAAAAAAAAAAAAATGCTAGAATTAATTAACTTTTTATTTTATTTATTATTTTTTAAATATCTCTGTCATAAAATGATTCATTGCACTCACCCTGTGAAATAAAATAATAATGAAATCTATTTTAAAGACAAAATTCGATTTAAAATATTTGGCAGATAATGCATCAACTAATATAGTTCTGAACGCTCGTAACTATCAGTTAAATGTGTCATAAATTCAATATATTTGAAATTCTAAGAATTAGACATATCATTAAAAATTAAAATAAAGATTTAAATGATTTACAAGTGTGCTTATGACTTTCAAATGAATTTATTATTGAATTATTTAATATTTAAAGTATTTACAAATTAAATTTGAGAATTAAGTTTAAGACCTTATCCTGTGCTGAATGCCAATGTTCTGAGAGCTGGATATTTTCAAAGCCACATGAAAGCTAAATATATCTTCATGGAAGATATATATGAATATTTCATATATGGGGGGGGAATAGAAAAAAAAATGGTGTCAGATTACTGCCATCTTCCATGGGAGGGGGGGAGGAAAAAAAAAGAAAAAAAAATTGGTGCCAGATTACTGCACTACAATTCAGCTAAGCAATGGTGCTTTTCTTCAGTGTGCAATTTTAAATAGTATCTCATTTACAGTCTTGTATTGTTTTAATTTTTTTTAATTTATGAATTAAGAAAAATTATAAGAACATTACCTTAAAATGGGAACTGTTTGTCAAAATAAAGTAAAGGTAGTAAAAGGTTCTTATAAAGGGTCTTTAAATAAAAAAGTTGTGATTTTAAAATGAAATAAAACAAAATCTATTTCAGATATGACCAGACTTATTATATTATTTTTAAATACAATTTATAACAGTGCATTTTGAATAAAACAACATTTAAGTGTTCATCTCGACTTAATGCAAATGAGCAAATTCGGTGAACACAGTTTCCAGTTACTGTATGCAATAGTTACGTATCATGAAATTATCCTTTCTTTTTGCAATACGTTGATACTGGCATTAGCAGTGTGACATGTGGCACATTTTTCTAGACAAATGTCTTCCAAGTATGGCTATAAATTCTTTTTATCATCATTCAGTATCACTCACCAGTCAGTGTAACTACATCTCCTCCATCATTTTTTTGGGGGGGGTGGGGGTTGGTTTATGATGTCATTAATCATACCAAAGAGTGACCTTTTCTGAATGCAAGAGCTTCTCATGCATCTCCTTTAGATTGTTTTCACACCAAAAATTTTTTTTAACGAGCAGAAACCATTCAAGCACCATTTGTTAACAATTCAAATGGAAATGAGCCTATATGAGAATCCTTTGCCCTAAATTAATGTTCTTAAAGCGGGTATTTAGCCATGGTGAATTTTCAGAGCATGCAAATAAAAATTACTGAAAGTAATAACATTTTAAACATGGTTGTCATTTTATTTTAAAATCATATCATATTCTTATTAGGATACCCTTTATTATTAAAATTATTTAAACAAGCAGAAACCATTCAAGCACCATTTTTTAACAGTTCAAGCGGAAATGAGCTTATATGAGAATCCTTTGCCCTAAATTAATGTTCTTGAAGCGGGTATTTAGCCATGATAAATTTTCAGAGCATACAAATAAAAATTACTGAAAGCAATAACATTTTAAACATGGTTGTCATTTTATTTTACAATCATATCATATTCTTATTAGGATACCCTTCATTATTAAAATAATAAATATTTGTTTCATGTTTGTTTGTTTACTGGATTATTTCATGAAAAATTCTACAGGTTCTATCTAATTGGATTATTTGAAATTTCAGGGCAGAGAAGGTATGACAGCATATTACCTTACAAAAGGCTGGGCTGGCCTAGTTGTAGTTTTAGAAAACAGACTTCCTGACCGTTGCATTCAAGTGATATGTGATTGTTCTGAGAGTATGAATGTAGTGTCCACTCGTGCCACTTTACGCACTGTTGACAGTATTCCACCGCTTCACAGGTAAATAAATTGCAGACAACATCAAAAATATGTCTATGAATGACAAAAAGTATTCATGTAAAATTTATATATAATGTATTAACACAAAATATTGCATTTTCTGCTTCAGCTGTTGGAAATTTTTGGTGTACTTATATTATATATTATATTAAACCATATAACCAAAACTTTTAAGATTTTTATATGGCATTTGTTCTGCCAAATTAAAAAAATAAATAAACCTCATAAAATTACATAAATAATTAACTATTGTAGGTAAAAGTGTAATAAGAAATTAAAATCTCTTCAGTTCTGTCTCCTCCCCCAAAAAAATTTATAAATTGCACAAGTAGATAACTGGAGTAGATAAAAAGTGTAATAAGAAATTGAAATCTGTTCAATGCTGCTCACCCCCCAAAAATATTTTTTTCTTTAGAAGCTGTAATAAATATTAAGAGAAAAAAATAAAAAGTATTGCAATAATCATAATTATTTTTACAATTGTTAAGTGAAAACAGTGTTAAAGAAAATTTCCATTCTTCATTTCAGTTCCAAAAATTCAAGTTCCTTTTGTAAGAATGCACAAAATGCATAATGATTTTTGTGGCCTTACTCATGTATAACATAAATACAAGCCTGTGTTCTCGAGAAAGTACTCCATGAAGGCATAATTCCTTTTAAGGCAGATGGCCTTCAAGTACTTTGCTGCAATCATTTAATGAATTTTTTTCCATCTATATAATACAATGAAATCCCATTTTTGCTTTTTCCTGATTTTATGTTTTTCTCTATTTCATGTGATAATTGCGAAGTCCTAGAATTTTCCCTTTGAAATGCATTATAAATCTGTCTGCTAGCTGCATTTTTGACTGTTTACTGCATTTCAGTCCATATTTTTTTTTCGCTTTTATGATAGTAATTTTGAAGATGATGTTTATGAAATTTTCGTTTTCAGAAATATAAAATCAAAAAATGTTTTGCAGGAAATTTCTGGCATTGAATTTACTATATTTTAGATGTATAAGATTGTATTATAAATATAGAATAATGAAATAATTCAAAGCTTGAAAGATATTACATAAGGAATAAATATCAACCATAATCTGGCACAATTGGTAATAGATCATATAAGCAATTTTTGTGAGTGAGTTGGAAGGATTTGTGAAGATTTAATTGCAGTATTTTACTTCTGAAAGGTTCTGAAGGTGAAAGATCTTTAGTAATCATATTATATTAAGTGTTTAGCAACACAACTGGTTAAATATTTTCCCTTTTCTTTTTCTCTGGAGTGAACAATGTTGGCTTTTGTGGCCCTTTACAAAATAATTAATAGAATAATTTTATAAACCCTACAAAAAATTAGTAATACAATAATATTTTCTAACTTCTTATTTGACATACTGAATGTATTAGGATTGTTTGATAAACAAGGGCTTATAGTTTTCATGCATATAAAAATAAGGAAGAAACACTTGTGTTTGTTGGTATACTTGTTGCTGTACATAGTACATGTCATCTGTTTTATTTGCCATTTGTGTGTGAGGTTTGTTCAAAATTTTAGTTTAAATTATTTTGTTGACCCTTTCCTGTAACCACTTATGGATTTATCCTCAATGATCAGTTGCAAAAGCCACCATAATGAATAATGCTCATTACTGTGAAACAGGTATAGGTTGAAGCAAGGTCAGTGCATTTATCTAGGCATACTTACCGTGCCTTGCTGACTGCTAAGTTTTTGCCCCAGACAGAATTCCAAGGGAGAACACCCTAAGGGTCTCTCACCTCTCTTCCCCTACCCCAACCTCTTGAGAGGATTTTGTATTTGAATGCCTACTTACCACATATACATATGCTTACAAGCATTTATGCCTTCTCTAGGATTCAAACCTGGCTCTTTGGTATGGCAGTCAACATCACTAACCACATATTTGGATGGCCGTGAAACACTGGAGCTTTTGAGGAAGAAGTCTTAAGCCAGTTAACTAAAATGCTTTTGTCATTGAGGTACTGTTCTTTTGCTTGACTGCATGACTACAAACAGCAGACATTTTGATAAAAATCCGACAGATGGGCTACGATGTACTACCCCAAGCTCCATCATCGCCTTATGAATTTCACATGTTTGGCTTCATAAGTAGATCTTTTATATCAGACAATGAAGTGCAAAATGCACATATTTTCATGGCTTCCTAGACAGCCCAAAGAGGTTTACAGAAAAGGAATTGACAAGCAAGAGTATCTGTGAAATTGCTGTATCAACAACTATAGCTAATTTATCAAATAAAAACTACTACTGGAATCACAGTGATTTAATCCACTAATATAGATTCTGAGCACAAGCCAATTGGGTGGATCTTTTAGTATTACTTCATTAGCTAATCTCAGTAATTTATAGATACAGCATTTTACAACATTTAGTACAACATTTTCCTAAATATAAGTTAGTAATTGGAAACATGTATAAAAAGTTATACTTTATGATATTTATGAAATCGATTTCTATAAATTTAAAAATGCCGAAACAGAATGTGTCATTTAAAACATTTTTGTAAGTGGAAGTCTTATGTCTACAACTAGTAGTTGCAAAAATAAAGACTAGATAAGGACTCTTGAGGGCACAGTGTATATTCTCAGAAAACATTTCCCATGCATTACATTTTCCACATTTGATTTTATAAGTACAGTTCCAAAGATAAATTATGAAAATCACAATTCCATTGCTTTCACAATGCATTTTTTTTCCCATTTCAGACAGGTGATAATTGTTCTCACACAGTTGGAAGGTAGTGGAGGTTTCTCAATAGCACATCGTTTAACCCATCGTGTATCATACAGCGGAGGGCTTCATGACTGGGGACCACCAGGGACAAATCATGTGCCTCCCATCGATCGCAAAGTTTTTGGACTCCATGCACCCCGGCCTCTGTGACCAGTCTCCATTGTTTAAAAATATGTCTAAACATTGTGATACAGTTCCAAGTTTGAATGGATCTCAGCATTATTGCATGAAATGTATTATTTTATATGTTTCACATTTTGTATAAGTCACCAGTTGAAAGAAGGCAGTCACATTTCAAACAGAGTAAAAAATTCTCAGAATATATTTTTATGTTATGTACTAAAATTTGTACCATTATAATATGCGCTTCTACTTAAATGGTGCAGTAGATGGATGTTCACAATTTTATTTTTAAATTTGCTTTCTAAGCATTTAATGAATATAAATTATTTTTATATTTTCATTTTATTTATACTGCAACCCAAATAACTAATTATCAGTCTTGCACCAGATGATGGTATCATGTTTCATTTTAAATTGTTTATTATCAGAATGTACTTTTGAATGTAATTTTAAAGGTTAAATTAATGCACAAACTCCAATTTGTTGTGATTAATAATTTTTGTGGTGAATTTCCCATTGTTGCAAAAAGTTGCTTTTCTCCCATTAAGTATCTCAATGCTGTCATATTGCTAATTTAAATATTTATTAATTTATTTGTACATAAAATCTATTTAATGGTGCTTTTAAGCATTATGATCAAAAACACATATAGAAAATTCAGTTAAATCTGTCTATGGTAAATTAACTGATTAGTGTTCTGAACATAAAATTAAGGGATGAAATTTAATGATTAAGTGAAAAATATTTAAACAAATTTTAAAATATCCTGTTAAATTGAAGATTATCATTTTCCTTCTTTTTAATATCTTAAAAATATAGTATAATATTTTTGTATTCATGGAAGCAAGTTAAAATACAAATTGAGAATTTAATTTTTAGATTCTAAAATAAGTATTTACTAAGAAAAGATTATTTAATGATGTTTATTTATTATAAATTGTAATACTTTAAACACTAAAATCACTAAGGGAATATGAGCAATTTATGTAAGAAATCGTACTATATCTGCTATGTGCACTTTTTGGAGATTTTAACATTTTGACTATTATGACTAGTTTGCTAACCAAATTTTCATATAAAAAATCTGCTGTGTGACTCTATTATACGGTGAACTATGGTCACTAAAAAAATATCCTATGTGCATCAGCCAGAATATTATAATATCAAATAAATATTGATGGGTGCCAAACATGCACATAGCAGATACTGGTTTGACAACAGTAAAATATCAAATATGCTATTATTATTGAAATCTTATTGAGATGTAAGAGATTGTGTCTAAACATTTTTCACTGGGGAAAATTTGCATTTTTTTACATTCATATTTATTAAATGTAGTTGTTACTTCTAATAAGATTATGGCTTTAATTTGAAAAAAAAAGGGGCCATAATGATTTTAATTCGATATAGATTAATATTTTTTATATATTACATCATAATATTTTTTCTGCTACAAGTCTCATTTTTAACTCATCATAATTAAACAAACAATAATTATAATGATACCTTTTATCAATTCTCTTGATGAAAGAAGTCAGATATATATATATATAGAGAGAGAGAAATAAGTCAGCATTTCCTTTTTGAAATAAATAAATAATACTCTAGTTCAGTTAATGTACTTAAGTTATTTTGATTTAGTGGAGTGAATAGATCAGATTTTTTGGGGGGTGTACCAGTTTTTAATAAAGAAATTGGTAAAATTTATGAATTATAAGCTTTCGTATGGAGAAAACAGCATTTTAGCAGAACTTTTTCAAATAACCTCTAGACCATAGCATTATATTCTAACAAGGAGTATGTGAATGTATTTCTGGAGGAATTCATATGTTTAAGATCTCAGTCAAAAAAAAAAAAAAAAAAAAAAAAAAAAAAAAAAAAAAAAAAAAAAAAAAAAAAAAAAAAAAAGCTTTTTTTCTTCTTAAATAATTTTTTTTCCTAAAGCACTACTTATTTAAAACTCAAAATTTTGAATCCTCTTAAGCTGCTTCTAAGATAATTATTAAATTTTAGATACATCTTAAAAGCTAAATTATCTTGCAATGGTAAAGATGGTAGTGTATCTCTGAATTCTTTTCAAAAGTATGAAATCATGGAGTAAAATTTTAAATTAAGCCTATCTGTTACTTTATCTATCAGTTTATACAGTGCCCCATGAAGAAGCAGCTTGCCGAAGTATCTTTACCATGCTCTGTGGAGGAGGCCATGGTTCTTTGGTTATCTGTCTGGTGACTCAGTATCACCCAGTGAACTAGTGTTCCAGTTTTATTTTGTCTTCCTAGTCACTACTTCTGTGCACACTGCATCAAAAAGATGGCATCTGTTTTGATGGTTTATTGCTGGAGACAGGCTACTTTTTCATGGGTGATCCTATGTAATAAGCATGTACAGATTAGAATAATTTTAAGAATGGAATATAGTAAATCCTCTCATGGAGACAATATCTGAGAGTGACTAACATTTCAGAGAGCATAAACAAAACTTAGGTATTTAAATATCACCTCTCTGAGGTGACCAGCTTCATTGAAGATCAAAATTACATAGCTGTCAATTTTCGTCGTTTTTAATTTTTACCTTCCTATGGGACTGCTAAAGAAAATATTTCCCGCGAGAAAGTGTATTGAATTAATGAAATATGAATTGCACAAATTCTTCACCATTTATGATTTTCAGCATTCTTATTAAATTTTATTTGATCTGAACTGTCTTGATCTACTTTAAGACATTTGTAGAACTTTCTAGGAAGATTCAGCCCATGTTTAATCGGTTAATATTTCTATTTAATTTTGTTTTACGGGTTTTACGGTATATACAGCAGGGGTGGCCACAGTGCGGCTCTTGCAGTTCTTTATGCAAATAAAATATAAGTATGAAATATGGCAAACTAAAAATACTCAATGTCCTAAAGAAAGAAATTCATTTCATTTCTTTTTGTGAAGTTAGTAATAAACTTATTCAAATGTAATTATTTTACTTAATTTCTTGCTAGTTAAGAAATTCAATAATGTTATTCAAAAAAAAAATTGTACTGTAATATTCTATCAAAAAATTTCACAAAGAAAATCTTTAAAACTTAGATTTTGCTTGTGGATGCTTTATGAATGGATACTTGGAGGTTTGTGGATGCTTTCCTGGAAAGGTCTGCTGCATTTTTGAATTTTTAATTGCACTAGAAATAAATTGGGGTCATCTGTAAGCATAACAGAAATCACATGTGATGTGTCAAACACTTTTAATATCACACAGAATTTGATACCAGTTAAAAATAATTTAGAAGTTGATTCTATATTAGAATTAATTAGAAATTTATGGTAGTTGGAGGCTCTGGGAATCTCTAATAAATCTAATGACAGTTGTAGCTTAGAAAACCATGTTACCGTAGAAAATTATGAAAATCCATAAGGACAGCAGATACATGGCTTACTGGCCATGAAAGAAGCTTGAAGGGAAATTGTGGGATAATTTTGAGATAGAAGATGCAGATTTAAGAAGAATCCAAAGTTTCATGAGATTAAAGCTGTGATATATCAACATTAACAAGAAGGGTATCGAGGAAGAATTAGAGAATTTAAAAACTGAAAAAGCTTCCTTTTTATTGCATTAAGTTGTAATTAGAGAAAACAAACACACCACAAAACACAGCATTGTCTGCCAGACTGTCAACATACTATCACTGAATGAGTATTCAGAATCAGAAGTTTCTTTACATTTCAAACATGTCTCACTACTTTTGAAATGATGTAAATATGGACTTGTGGCTTTTGGGAAAATCTATTTGTGGCTGTCAAACTTTCCTGAATTCCAACATGCGGCTCTTATTGACCTAAAGTTTGGCCACCTCTGCTATATAACATATAATGCAAAGTCCACAATCCAAACATCTAATACCTGGACCACCAACCAAAAAATAAACAAGTAAATAAATAAAATAAAAATCACTCCATACAGAATATAGGAATGGAAAATGTAATATTCAATAAAATGAAGCTGGTGTTCTGTAAATGCAGTTTTTCTCAGAACTGTGACTTGTGCATGTCACTTTCAAACACCTGCTGGCTAGGGAGTTGCACAGTAGTCAATAACAAATTTCATAATTACTATCCTATTAATCAGTTCCAGTGGAAGTTGGACTCCATATCTGAGAACTGTGGTGGTGCATCATTCTACTAAACCTTTCTCAAGTATTCAATAAAACACATTGACTGGCATTGTACTAATGTTGACCAAGATCACACTTTTTGCCTTTGAATGATTCTGGGAGAGGGCAGGGCCGTTGCTATGTATTTTGCCCCCGCTGCAATCTCTGCAGGCCATAAATTCTGTCGTACTGACCTAGTTAGGAAATTAGCATTTTCTGTCTGACCTAAAACAATTAGCGAAGTTCCAGTGTTGCTATGTCTACATATCATATTACCAGATCTAAAATCTGGAAATTTCTTAAATCCGAAATTATTGATGTTTTGACGATTTCTGAGTTGAACTTTGTACTATATTACTGAGTTTATACACACAAATAGTATGTACATTAATTACTTATATTCATCATTGTGTTCAAAAGAACTTCGTTAAATAAAAGCTTTCCGTCCCTATTCGGGATTTTCTCAGTATAAAAGTGGAAGAATATTAAGAAATGAAATTAGCCAAAGAACATAAAATTTAGAATATCTAATTAAATATTAACATATTTTTCATCAGAATCATGTTATAAATAGTTCAGTTCCTAAGTCATCCCTTATAAAGTGAATTTAAAGTCAATTTTGAGTTCTGTTGAAAAGCAATCACTGCACAGTTCAAAAACTTCGCAGGAAATTGCAGTTTTTGCAAGAAAACTCTCCACCTCCCAAGACTTTAAGATTGACAGCTATGAAACTATCTGGAACTGTATATTTTAAACAGGATTATTATTTCTTCTCCTTTAGGCATGATATGAATTTTTCTTACTTTAACACTTTCAGTAAAATAATAATACATGAAACAAAACTTGATCTAAACCATGAATGTTGTAATTAAGGTTGTGATTTGCAAGCTGAATCTCTTTGATTAAATATTCTGCTACAAAACATTCAGTGAAAGAAAGTGGAATTACTAAAACTACTATTTGCAAGATTTATATTTCATTTCTGTCGAGTATTATTATACACTTCCTCATCAAAACTGTTAAATAATAAATGCTACAATAATCTGTGATCTGCAGTGAGATTATTAAAAGTTTTAAGAGATCTGAACTATTCTTTCACCTTATTTGATTAGAATAAGCTAGCTGTATGTTGTGTGATTTTGTTATCTTAAGACTTCCCATGATGTGTGTGAAAAAAAGGTGCTTCTCTGACCCGCCTAGGGTTTTGGTGATCTGATATATGACTTGACTGTTAAAAATAAATTATCTGAAATATGCATTAAATATATATTTAAAATATATTCTACTTAATGGTGACCTTTGCTAAACTACTTAAAGAGGAATTTGATTTTTATTTACTTTGAAGTGTTCATGGAAAGTAAATCTAGACCTACTTAATTTTTTGGTGCTTTATTAATGCCATTTATTCTTCTGATTATTTATGAAAAAGTTCAATGGATTTAAAAAAAAATCATATACTTTATTCATGATTAAATAACAATCTAATATTTAATTTTCTATACACAGCATTTTTAACACTGTAATATTATATTTAAGAAATTATTTCAGAGTGAAGATAAAATATTTTGTAATGTAATACTGTGAAATAATTAAAAATTTGAAAAATATTGATAATAATTGCTTCTCACTCAATACCATTCTTAAATTTGATAAAGGAAATTTTTACTGTTCAATTAATTCAATTAATTCCCGGTGACCATTTTTTTACAATATAATATTTTACAATATAATATTTTACTATAAAAGTATAAAGATTTATTTGCTCAAGTAATTATTATTTTATTCATGAAAGGACAAGATATTAATAGTTTACTGTGTTTTTTATTGATATACAGATTTTTTATTATTTATATGCAAAATATGTGAATTGTTTTATTTGTGAATGCATTAGTAAGACAGAACATGTATTTATAAAGGAAGTTTGAAAACTATTTGATTTTAAATTTAAAAGTACTGCTATTGAATCTCTGTTTAACCTCCTGAGTGGCATAAATGCATTAATCCTGTCTTTTTTTTTTTTTTTTTTTTACTTGACATAGATTAGCTTATAATTTAAAATATTTTACTTTCATACTTTCTTTAATGATGTAAATATAATGTTAATGAATGGAAGTTTATCAAAACAGAGACTAAAATAAGTAAATTATACAAATTTAGCTAATAAATGTTGTTTAAATACAGTTCTTCATGAGCAGATCTAAAAAGCAGTGCCACTCAGAAGGTTAATATAAAGCTGATATTTCTGTTTTTGCATATTAAGTATAAAAAAAGAATTCAAGTTCTCCTTTTCTTCATTTTTGATCAATCAGTTATGATTACATAATTTTCATACAATTTGATCAAATGCATGTAATATCATACTTAAAGCACATGAAAGTAATAGCTTTAAAGCATTAGTTGCATCTACAGTTGAACAAAATTTTAAACTACCTGACAACTATCCAAGAATAAAATGGTATTAAGATATAATGCTAGTATTAAGGTTAAAATAATAATGATTAAAATCATCAAATTCAAATTTAATTTCAAATGTCTTACTCTGAAAATTTACTTATTCATAATTTAAATCTCAGTTCTGTTGATTCATAAGTGTACAGTTACATGTATGTTTATATATATACACACCTTTAAAAATATTTGCATGCAACTAAATAAACATGTAAATAGCTATTTTTGTAACATATGTTGCATATTAACATTTTAAAATTACTATATTAACAATAATAATTGAATTTCATTCACACAAATTTTTATTTAATGAACAACAAAAATTTATTTATATGAGAAAAAAAAAAAAAAAAAAAAAAAAAAAAAAAAAAAAAAATAACAGATATAAGCTATCAGTGGAATTTGTTCAGTATTACTGTTGAAAGTATTTTTATTTTAGATGAGAGAAAAGAATGCATTGTTATACTGCTAGTCAATAGATTTATTTATTTATTATATGGATGTGAATGGAAAATTATGAAAACTTTAGTCAGAGCTATTAATATATATAAAATTAATAGAATGTTAAAAAGCAGAATATTAATACATATATGATATTAAAATAAATTATACCCTTAATCTGCTCGCCATTCAGCTTTATTTCAAACTGTGGCAAAATCCAGCCTATGAAGTGTCTAAAAAATTCCTTTTCTTATATACAGTGAAATTTATTTTTTTAAATACTGACATTTATGTAAGATATAGAGTATTGACTTTCTGTTGCATCTCAAAGAATGTAAATTTATTGTATCATAATACTTTTATCGAATTAATAGTTAAAATGAATTTAGCTGTTACCACTTCAAAATTTATATAATAAAAAATAGAAAAATATATGTGTAAATATAGTTCATGAAGAGAAAATGGCAGAATTATTGCTATTAGATATGAGTGCCTACCGATTGTCACAGGAAATAGATAGTTTTAATTAGCATGAAACTTTTATTTATTGAATTATGATGTGTAATTTAATGTAAAAATGTAAGTATATGTTTGTTTTATTGTTTTAGAATAGTGCAAAAAAAAAATTTTTTTTTAATGCTACACTTGGAATTTTACACCAAGTTTGTTATTATTTTTTTATTTGTGAGTGAGTTCGTTTTTTATCACCTTCCAGTTTATGAGTTATTTATTATTTTGAATTTTAATTTCTTGCCAAATTTTTTATTTGTTCCATGTGTTTCTGTAAAATAAACTTTTATTGAAAATAACTTCTACTTTTTTTAAAAATTCTCTTCTTTATACATTTTTTTTTTTTTTTTTTTTTGTTAATTAAAATTTAGTATTTTTGAAATGTTGAATACACCTAATTATAGAAAAAGAGAAAAACCAGAAGACCTGCATACTTCATGAGTTAGAGTTGGAATAAATGGATGGAGCATGTCCTCCTCATTTCTTATTTTCTTCAAGGTTGCTGTACTTCTTGGAATCAACTTCCAGGTATACAGTATATATCAAAAGGAAGCTTTCTGTTGTAACACAGTCTAGACGTGATTTCTAGTGCTTCTCTAAATTTTAAGGCTACTTTTCTGCAGGGATTTATTTGCTGATGATTCTGGTTTTGTCTTAATTAAGATAAATGCTACTTTCATTTATATACTGGTTGGCAAGGAGTTTGTAAATATCGTTTTTATGCTTAGTGGTTCTGACTGATAACTTTCTAGACGTTAAACTGATATTCTATGTTTGTATTTTCAATGTGGATCAGTATAGTATATGCACCAAATGTACCTCATGTGGTGGCATCCAGTTTGTTATTCACAATATCCAGATAGATCTATCAAGTTTATAAATAAATCTTTTTTAAATTGAACTAATCTAAGGGTGAGGGGTGGCAGGTGAGTGTTTCAATGAATTTGTTTGATTTTTGCATCGGTAGCAATTTTATTTTTTCAGAAATAACTTTGGAAGCTTTCTATTGATTTTTTCAATAAGTGTTTCAATACAAATTCAGGAGGGCGCTATTTTTTTTGTTGCAGCAAAGATCTATTGTTTGTTGCAATACAGACTGCTTCAAAAAATAAGTACCTCATGAAAATCAATAGACAAGCTTGCTATCAATGCAAGAATCAAATGAAAGTAAACTCGCCTACCTGCTCCATCATCTTGAAATTATTAAGAATAGACAAATCAGACACAAGCACAACAGGTACAATAGGTGCATCTGCTGGCTCGATTCATAATGAAGGTAGACACAGAAATTGAATACATTGTTTTACATCTAGAAAACTATCAGTAAGAACTGCCAGGCATAAAAAAAGGGGGGTATTTAATTGCCACTAAGCCGTGTTGCAACTTAGACCTTCCTTTTCAACCTGCTGCACATCTGGATGTCGATTCTCAGATATACAACTTTGCAGAAAACAACAAAAAAGAGAGAACTTGATTTGCAGTATTAATTTTCAACTTCAGTTGACTAAGCAGACAGGTCATCTGTAATAGTTCCCATTTTACTAATGTATAAATGCATCAACATAGAACTTTTTCTTTTGCTTCTATATATTTTAAATTTCTCACAAAGAAATATGAAAAGCTAGCTGCATTTGTCTGGGTCGCAACACAGTATAATAGTGATTTTTTAGTGCTTCTCTGATTCTGAGTCCGCTTTTATACCAAGGTCTGATAATGATTTTGGCATTGCTCCAGAATGTGGGAGCTTCCAAGAGCATTTAACCAAAGATGTGCTGTTTTCATTGATTTTGTGGTTGACACAGAGTTTGTAAATATCTTTTTTATTCTCAGCAGTTCTTAATGATAGTTTTCTAGATGTTTAGCACAAAGTTTGTAAATATCTTTTTTATGCTTCATAATTCTTAATGATAATTTTCTAGATGTTGAATTATAGTTTTGTGTTTGTATCTTCATTGCACATTGGGATTATATACACACCTGAAGTATCTATTGTGGTGGTGTCCGATTTGCCTTATCTTAACAATTTCCAGATAGATGGTCTTGGAGTTTATGATAAGTTTGTATTTAAAAAAAAAAAAAAAAAAAATTTGGAACTGATGCATGGAGTTATCAGATAGAGAATGAACGAATGAATCCAATGGATTCATTTGGTTGCATCCGTTCACCATCCGTATTTGATTTCTTTTATCAGTAGCAATTTTGCTTTTTAAGAGATAGCTACAGAAGTTTGTTTATTAATTTTTCTGGGAAGTTTTTCCAGAAAATTAAGAGTTGTTCTAATTGTTTGCTGCAATTTTTAGTATTCATTTATATTTCTTTTATTTAAACTCTGGTATAGAACAGAAATTTTTGGCTTGTGTAAAGTAAAAAGCAACTGTACTATGCAGATCTAAGAAGCAACTGTATTATGCAGATCACATGAAAAATATTCATATAGAAATATTGCTGGGTTGCCAGTTTGTTTGTTATAAGATTACACTCTGAAAAACATCACCATTTCTTGAAATTAAGAGATCAAGCAATGGGATACTGTTTTTATGTTCTGTATTAATTGTAAATTGCAAGTTGGTGGATTTTCTAAAATAAATGAAAACAGAGCTTTAAGTTAATCTTCAAAATGTTTCCACAGCACAAAAATATCACCTACACAACTCTTTAAAAAAAATGGGTTTGGGAATAACTTGATGAAAACAAAATTTCCAGGATGTTTCCAATTTTATGTTGCATATAAATGTCAGCCAAGATGGATGACATTAATTCTTCTGTAAAGAGACATTCTTGGTGTTTATAGCTTTACCCATTCACACTGTTAACTTGTGGATGAACTGAAAAGTTTCAAATATGTTGGTAATTAATTTGGAAGTAATTCTTAATTTTTCAGTGAAGGTTTTGATGAAGGTGAAAGACTGGTCTTAAATAATTGATATTGAAAAATGTTGATTAGAAATTTTGAATTAAAGATGAAATTGCTATCAATCCTACAGAAGGGTCCACTGCCTGCGACCTCAAAAATTTCAATATAGATGGTGATCTTCAGCTAAGGATTCAAAAGTTCCATGGGGAAAAGGCATGACTGCATCCATACTCAGATAAAGGTACAGATGGAAACAAAGGTTTAACAATGATGGTAAGCATGGTAACATTTGGATCGATTACACGTGCAAATTCCAAAAGCTAGTCTTAACATTATCATCGACATTAAATCTCCGTGTCCGTTTAGGTCAAATGATTTTGGTGAAAACCTTGATTGAAAAACTAAGAATAACTTTAAAATTTATTATTAATATCTATGAAGCCTTTCAATTCATCTGCATTTGACGTTTTACAGCCAATAGGCAAATCTACAAGCAAAAAGAAATTCTCTTTGCAGGAACATCAGTGTCACCCATCTTGGCTGAAATTTAATGCAAGACGTAGAAAATTTTGTTTTCTCTAAGTTCTCCCAAACCTACATATTAAAACAGGCAACCTACCAATAATTACTGTGGCCCTCTTTCATTTAAATTGCATTTAACAGCTGTTTCATATTTTTAAGATGAGCCAGAAATTTCTGTTTATACCAGAATTTTACAAAAATGAATATAAATACATGTTGCAAATTGAAGCTGGAAAAATAGACAAGCTTCTACAGTTATTTCTCTAAAAGAAAAGTTGCTACTGTTTGCAAGAATCAATGCATCAGTTCCTTTTACAAAAAATTAGGTTATAAACTTTCCCATAACCCTAACCATCTCCGAATGGAAATTGTTAAATTAGATACCACCACAGCAGATACTTTGGGTTTGTGAATACAAAGATCCACAGTTGAAGATACAAACACAGAAACTCAATACATTAGTTCAACATCTAGAAAACTATCCGTAAGAAGTGTTGAACATAAAAGACATTTAAAAACTGCATGCCAGCTAGTAAACCAACAAAAACAGCACATCTCTTGTGAATACTTCTTGGAGCAGCCATACTCAATAACTGAATGAGACCCAGCCAAAATTAACACCCAATCCCCACATAAAATGAGCCTGAAATTGAGAAATGCTAGAAATTGCCCTAAACAACATTGAAACACACACCTACCTTTCAACTTGCCCTACATCTGGACATTGATTTTGAAAGCAACAACCCACAAAAAGTGGTAAATAGAACTTAATCAAGCCACTCATTCCAGCTCCTTTGACAAAGCTGATGGATCACCTACAGAAGCTCCTACATTTACTTATGTTTAAATGTGGTTTCTGCTTGTCAATCTAGAACATTTTATTTCATTTTTACAAAACTTTCTATTTAAGATGTAATTTTAGACACATAATCTAGCTACAAGGAAAAACTTGTATGCCATTTCAGAAAAAATATGAATTGCATTCATAATGTGTATCCTCTTTGAGACCAGAAGGTTATTTTTTGCAAGTTAAATTTAGTGGTTACTATATAATCCTTCCCTGTAATGCTCATGCCTAAGATCAATAGTTAAGGTGGGAAAAAGGCTGTAGTCATTTTTATGAACACTCTACATAATTACGATTTAGTGTTTGATAAAATCATGTATTAACATGAAACTGGGATTAAACAGTATGAATCATCTGGGTCTGTGACACTTAACCGACACAGACAGTTAGCCGACAGGACATTTAACCGACACAGAGAGTTGGCCATCAGGATGTTTAGCTACAGAACATTTAGTCAACAGGACATTAAGCTGACAGTGACAGTTAGCTGACATGTACCCAATAATTATTTAAACGTACTATACCAATTGCAAAATTTGGATTCTTAAAGATCCCACATATGCTTTTTTAATACTTGTGTAATTTAGTATAGTTTGATATATATTGTGCTATTTGGTATATATTGGCCAAATTGAAAAAAGCATTGAAATTTCTCATCAGGGAATATGAATTAATTTTTTTAGCTAAGTACGACAATCACTTAGTTATATTTTAATATGGGATATGCAAAAATTGTCCATAAAGCTTTTTCATTTAATCAACTGGGTTCCTTTGAACACTTTCACATCATTAATAATTTTTCTTGTTTACTTAATGATATTAATTTTCCAATCTTGCTCTTCCTAATGCTTTCAAATTTCTAAATACCTTCACATTTCATTACTATTTTACTCAACACATCATTTGCTTCCCTTATAAAATCATTTCGCTCCTCCCCACTACTGAAATTTCCTTTCCCTGTCATGAAAAATCTGAATGCAATAAAAATTATTGTTAGTCTTGAATTATACTTTTTATAGAAACATTGGTGGTAAAGGTCAATATATTTTATTTTGTTATTTAAAACAATTAAAAAAGGGAATTTTTAAGACAAGCAAAGCTTTAAATTACTTGTGACCTAGCAATTATTTGTGAATAGGCAGTTCGTGCCGCCATTCTTGAGATAAATATAAACAACTCATATAATGTCTCGGTAAATGGCCTGTTTATGGTCACCTCTGCATCGCTTCCGTCTTTCAGAATCCAGCTTTTATTGATATGCCATATAATCATGTGACGATTACGCCTGTATTTCAACAGAACTGATAACGTCATGTCAGTTGTAATCGATAATGGACCCGTCTTTGTAAACACTTTTTGCCATATTGAGACAGCTGAACAATCCAAATTTTTTATTTATATAAAGTCAATTGTAACTTGGTTTGAGGAAAACTTTGTGCATGGCAAAAATACGGAGAAGCAATCAAAGAAATGCACAAAATCACAGATGGCTGCCGTAATTTTCTTTCCCCAGAACTCAAAATAACATAGAGTCATGGCACCGACAATGGGAAATATTGATTGCCCACTCTCGCATTGGAATTTTTTCAATAATTAAAGAAATTCAGAAAGAACAATGTCATGTCAAAAGTGAAATAGAGAAGGCTATGAGAAGAGAATCCGCTAAAAAGAAAAGCAGATGAAAGTAGAGAAATGAGGATGCAAAATGTTTTCCTTCCTCACATGAAAGTATTTTTTCTCTTAGGCAGATAGCCCTCTGGCTTTGCCGTAATTACATAAACCAAACCTACTTCATTTGGGTGGCCACGAGGAATGAATTCATGGGCAGGAGCCCTATCCCAGATTACTAAATATATGATGTCTAACGGGTAAATAGCATTTCAGAAAAAAAAAAAAAAAAAAAAAAAAAAAGTAGTTTCAGTGTGGCAAGGAGTAAGGCAAATCACTCTACTTGCTTACAAGGAAAGGAAATTTCATTAGTGGGAGGAGCGAAATGACTTTATACAGGAATGTTGTTTTCAGCAAAGTAGTAATGAAATGTGACAGTATCAGAAATTTGAAAGCATTTGAGAAGACGTAGACTCATTGTCAGCTTAATGTCCTGTTGTGTTCGTGTTGACTAAATGTCCTGTCGACTAAGAGTCTGCAACCAAAACATCAACCAATGCAAGATCCTGGTGTTGATATATTAGGACAATCTGACAATTGCCTAATACCGAATGATATTTTTTTTTAATTCATAAAACTATAAAGAATGTGAATTTCAATATTACATGTAAAACTAATAAAGGATAGGGAATTAAAAGTGAAAATCTATACATGGAAAGAAGATAAGGCAGCTGAATAGTTGTAGCTTAACTCAAATCCATTCCTAGAGAATGTGATGGCTATTTGTGAATTTACACAGTTTTCTCCATGTGTAAGTTAAATTGTCACGTCTTCCATGAAGGCATCTTTTTTCCTTAAGCAGACATTTTACATCTTTACAGATTTACACATACTAAAAAAAAGTTTATAATAGTACCAATTAACTGCAAAAAACCAGTCTATTCTGAGTATAAACGAAACATCAATATAAATTTTTTATTTACAAAATATTTCTTACATGTGTTTATTTGATACATTTGTGTTTCAGTAGTCTATTCTTCATTTGTTTCGTTTCCGTTTCGATAGTGCATTTCTTAAAGCAATCTGAAAATAAAATTATGAAATGCATTATTAACCCAAAAAGGAATAAAATAAAAGTAGAAAAATGCAAAATAAAATTACGTTATTAATGTTGCAGAGACAAAAAAGGGGGTTTATTTTAAGCCCCCCCCCAAAAAAAACCTGAAGGACACAAATTTGCAGAAAGATTAAAACAAATCACATAAAATGAAATTTAATAAGAAAAAATACAGTTAGATGAAATAAAATTTAATTAAGAAAAATTTAAAATTGTTCTGAAAATCACTAGGGGGTGAAGAAGTGCAAAATAAACAACATTATTAACTATAAAAGGAAAAGCTGTCAAAAGAAACTGAATACCTGAAAAAAGTACATACTATTTCTAAAGTTAAATTTTTGGTAAAAAGAGGAAATTCATCGATGCAGAAATCATTTGCAAAGTCTTAACATACATCTGTAGCAACAATAAATAAAGTAATAATAAAACCAAAATTTTCGACTTAGAAAAACTAAAAATCATAATTCTCATTAGCTTTTGCTGATGCATGTGACTCAATGCATAACAAATTGTAGAACTATATGAAAAATAGTTAACAAGAGATAAATTGAAGTATGCTGTCCCTCGATGAAGCAAGGTTTTACCTAAATGACTGCAACAAAAAATGTATACTTATTATTGAAAACAAAGAGGGAAAAAATGAACAAATTTAGTTCTGTCAATGCAAAGAAAGTTTCAGTAATTGTTTTATAATGGTACAATGGGAAATTAAAAAGAACTAGAAAGGAAAAAGTATTAAAATCAACTTGATGTACTATCAAGAGAAAGTTTTATATATGAAATTTACAGAAGAAATTCCATTTCTTTAGCCCGATGATTTTCAAAGTGAACTTCATCATGCCAAAGCAAAACACTGTACTTCAAAAAGCATCACTGATTTCCTTGCAACAATGAAGACTCATACGGGTACTGCACATATACCTTTTCAATGTATTCCTTTGAAGTTCCCTGACATTTCATGTATGGACTATTGCACCTTTGGTCTTTCGAAAAGAGTTCTTTATATGTGCAAATCCACCACAATAGATGGAAGTAGTAAAAGAGGAATGGAAATCAAAAAGACTGGAAATTTTATAAAAAGGCCCTTCAACCAAGGAAATCACGATGCAAACTTGTAATCCAGAAAAACAGCTATCAAATCGAACATTTAAAAAAATACGCTTTACATTTTAGACATTAATTAAATAGTCCCTAAATCATAAAAAAAAAAAAAAAAAAATGTGTTAATACCCTCTGTATTATTTACCTCGTACTGATATAAAATTTTTTGGTCCTTTAGGAGGTTAAGTTGGCCAGTACTCTTGAGCTCACTGCTTTCACAAGCACATACTGATGGGATTTTATGCCTCATACCTGCTGCAATTTTCACAATAGAAAATCCTTCATATCATAGGCGGATCATTTGCCCTGGTTAAAATGATATAACTTGCTATGATGTACCAAGAAAGTTCGGGTGGTTTTTGAGAACAGTTAATTTTAACATATTAGTGTGGTCACATTGTTTCTGATGACATATGTTTACACTCCTTTCAAAACTTATTCAGTGCATTGCACGTTTCGCTATTTGTTTTGTAGGAATATTTAAAGAATATGTCATTAGAAAAAGGAGATTTTGAGGCCTATTTTGCTTTATGAGTACAAATTAGGAAACAAATCTGCACAGGCCATTAAAAGAATACATTGGATGCCTGAACAGACATCAGTGAATGAATGAATTAACTGCTCAGAAGTGGTTCAGCCAATTTTCTTTTGGAGACGAAAATCTCGAAGACAAGCCTCATGTTGGCCATCCATCTACTCTTGTCAAAGTTCAGCTGGAGGAGGAAATCAAGCAAAATACTCATCAAACCTGCCAGGAACTTGCACACAGGTTTCAAGCATCTGATGAAACCATTCGATCACATCTTCATAACCTTGGGAGCAACTAAGCAAGTGAGTTGTTCATATCCTATCCGAGGAAAACAAGCTTCAACAGTTGAACATCTGCTTGTCTTTGCTGCCGTGCCATAATAAAACCCTGTTCCTGGACCAAATCTTGATGTGTGATAAAAAAATGGATCATACATGATAACCCGAAGAAGAAACATCATTGGTCGACTTCAGTTTCAGTCTCATTGGCCACTAAACCGGACATTTATTAAAAGAAGGTAATGCTGTGTTTTTGGTGGTCCAGCACTGGGATATCCCACTATGAATATTTAGATAGCAGAAAAATCATAATAACCGAGGTCTGCTCATCAAAACTGCAAAACGTTTCAGCTGCACTGCAGAAAAAGTGCAGCCAGCACTGGTGAACAGAAGAGGGGTGTTCTTCCTTCACCATAATGCCAGACATCATGCAGCAAAAGCGACCAAAGAGGTGATCGAAGTGCTGGGCTGGAAAGTTCTCCCACAACCACCCTATTCTCTGGACATCAACCCATCTAACTATTACATATTTTTGGGTATGGATAATCATCCACAGGAACAGCAGTTCCAAAAATGTGACAGTGTCACAGAAGTTGTATCACAATTTTTGGACTCCAAGAAAAAAAGAGGGAACCTGTAACTGAAGCCAATAATGATTATTTCAAAGAATGAAATGAGTATTCAAGACTTTTGTGGACCATTTTTGATGAATAACAAAAATCATATGAACTTTCTTGGTTACCTGATAGTATGGGGGTATAGTAACTTCTCGTGTGTGCATTACATAACTTGTTAGTATGGGGCATAGTGACTTCTTATAAAATAGTTACTGTTGGCAAATAAAGTACTATTACTACCATTCCACTACAGCTTTCTATTTATAAAGCTATTATAACAGTTTAGAAGAAGCTGCTCAGCCCACACATATACAGTCATTCTGAAATTCTAATCATTCACATATCATGCCCTTCTTTGAATTTCCTGTAGCAACAATAACTTATATATTTTGAATGTTACAAATTTATATGTATTCCTTTGTTTTCAAAGTTTACCAAAAATTATATAAGAAACTAAAATTATATAACAAACCTGTTTACCATCTTTATAACAAATATTGTTTCACTTTTAAGATATACTCTTATATGTGAAAATGACAACACCATGAAAGAATCGTGCAAATAAGCTGAAACTGATGCAAAGCAGGATACGCTACGCAGATAATTAGAATTTCAGAGTGACAATGCATGTGTGGGCTACGCAGCTACCTCTAAACTGTCATGTTAATAATAGATTACCATAGCAAATAAATAATAAATACCTTAAAAATAGATTACCATAAGAGAATGTTCAAATTAAAGTTTCATTTATTTTCCTGCAGTAAACATTTCATGAGATATCACTATGCCTCATCAAGAAGGAAGTCCTCAATACAAGCAAATTATGGCATTTAAACAGGAGTGAATGATCAGCCTGTGAGAAGCTGGATTTTCGTACTGTGTACTCACAACTCATATAGAGCATAATCCCCCTTCAGGGAGGCAGGTATGGAAGCAGTAAGACGTAAAGAATCAGACAAGCTGGCAGTGGACCATAAATCAGCATGAGATGATAGACATATCATCTGCATGACAATGACAGACAATGTAGCTTCATCTTGACAGTTGGAACGTTATTACAGGTATGCCATTACTAATATCAGTAGTTCACCTACACCTACTACACTGTGGATTATGTTTTACTTGAGATTTCTCTCATGCTAAGTGACCAAAACCTGCAGCCACAATGAGATCATCAACACAGCTACTAGCATGTCAACTGCAATAGCTCCTCTTTGTTTCAATTTGGAGTACAACAATGATGATGTATTAGATGCTACAGGAGTAAGCACTGTCTTCCACAGTGCCTTATTCAACATTACACTTGATGACTGCAAAGTGTGACATTCTGGGACACCATTGGTATGATGACTTATCAAGAAATGAAGGTACTTCCATTAAGAGTTGCTACATCGTTGAGGTTATGGATCCAACAGTCATATTTTTCATTCAATGCACTGTAAGAGAAAGTTTTAAGTTTTCAACAGGATAATGCTTGTCCTTATGATGCAAGAAATATTTAAGATTTCTTCTCAGTATATCACTTCTTCCCTGGCATGCCCATTCAATTCCCTGGCAATGTCACCAAATACTGATTTTAGACATTTGATATTCTTGTATTTCTCTGTATGTTAATTTTTTTCTTTATATGTAAGTAAATTTCTTTCAATTCTAATTATCCCTCCTTGATGTAATTTTGACAAATAGAAGTTTATCTGAGCAATTCCATTGAAAATGATTTACAACAAATTTAAAAATAATTAAGGTCACAATAATTTCTAGTAACAGTACATGAAATTGAAATTTTTGTGCAAGTCCTGTGGGGAAACAAATTGCACTAACCAAATAAGTAAATAAATAAAAAGCATTTTCATATCATCAAAATTAGCAAATATTGCTAACAGTTTTTAAATTAAATTTTCAAAAAATTTTCTTTCATGACAAAAAATAACTATAGAAACCTGTATTTTAACATTCTATTTATAAAAATGCTGTAAATTTTGAAGTTTTTGAATCTTTCAATATTATACAGCTCTTATAATAGATATTTTTTTGCTATTTCTTTTCATTCAATGAAAGTGATGCCAGTTTCTGCAGATCCATTTTATTTATTACAGAATTTCTTGTAAACTGTCTTTGATGAGATATGGAAGAAATTATTATCAAATATTTTTCGGCCACTGTTTTTTCACTTAAAAAGTGTTTTATATATTACTCAAGTTTTAAGATTTGTGCTTAAGCAAATTTTTACAGTTTTATGATCAGTAATTTGAAAACTTAAAACCAAATGAAGGACACAGAAAACATTGTCTGCGGTATAAATTCTGTAAAGGATAATGTCAACTGTAAAAGAAATTATCTACAAAAGCAACAAAGGAAATTTATGAAGGACATGGTATATATAAGGCACATGAATTTTTAGCAGTTACTCTTATAAGATGCTCTACGATGCAGAAGTGACTTTATGATAAACTAGATCTTCAAAGCAGATTTAAAGAAAATACACAATAGATACTAAATGAAAATGCAAGAACAATAAATTTCCTCTCACCTGCATATATAATGGAAAATATAAGCATGCTTTGGGTTCATATTCAAAACCATAAACGGTAACACTGTTACATCTTCCTTCATTACTGTGTAAATACTAATATGGCTTTTTCTGAGTGATGAAAGGTTATGACATAAGAAAACGAAATATCAGCCAGTGAACTCTTTTCCCTCATAAAAAATAAATTCATATAAATAAAAGAAAATCTGAAAGTATGCAGATTTTAATGTCAAATCAAAGGGTTTGGGAATTTCTATGCTTTCACTGAGCTCTGAGTTTACCAAGCTGTTCTTGGATCCACTTTTCCTAATGTGAATGATTTTATTTTTTAACCTTACTATTAAATATCCTTTTCTTCACACTAACCTAAATATCCTTTTCTTCAAATTTTTTTTAACCGTTTTACTGTTCACTTGTCTCGAAACCGCGACGCAGTTAGTTATTTTAGAATGCACTCGTATTACAAAGTACGCGTGAGGTCAGACTATGCACGTTCACACCCATGGAGCAACTAAGACACACTGAAGCTCGCAGCGCTGGTTTTTTAGACAAATGAACGCAGCGCTTTTGCGCTGTGTAGCAGTCAAATGGCTAAAAGTAGCACATTTTTAGCATTCCCAATACAGTGTTAAGTGCTGCCAAATATTTTTGTATTTTTCAACCCTTTTTCTCAGTTCATCCTATCAATGTTCAGTTGTCTTAGTAAAATGATTGACATAGGTTAAATGTTGGTACTTAACAGTCAATACAAAGGTTGAGCCTGCGAATACTTGCATAGGTGTTCTGTATGTATTCTGGTAAAAAGCACTATAGTCATGAGCTTTATATCTCTCTTTTGTTCCTACAACTAGAGTGGAAAGTCTACATGTAGAGTAACTGGTAATAAATTTCATAAAATGTCAATCTTAGAAGTAAAAGTGATAGATGATTGCAATCGTGGAATTACAAACTGAGGTTTTCAACTATAATATGCAGTTAATTTGAATTTTATTTTTGTCTCTTTGGAAAATTTAGAAGGAGCACTGGTGATCTCCAAACAGGCAAATTGAGAAATTCTGATGCATATGCGAGACAAAAATTATATAAATCAAAATTAAATTTGTAGTAATCCCTTAGCTGTGCCTTTTAATTTGGTTATTTCCCCTTTCTGTCCTGAAAACAGCAACTGTTTATTATAAATTGATCTCAACTGTGTCATTTAAAAATTATTCTGTCTCATATGATACTTAAATAATGCTAATTACACAGGCATTTACATAACACCTCAGACAATAATAATTTCATATTTGGGAAATGAAATTAAACCAATAGGGTTAAGCTGAACTAAATCATTTTGCACTGAATGCTCATCTTGGACATACTGCCTTTTGTTAATGCCTGCTGCTCCTTTTTTCTTAAAATATATTTTTAAAAAATCCAAAGAGTACCGAAGTAGTTCTTCAACAACAGGTATACTTAGTGCACCAGTTTATCTGTGTTTCCTTATTTGCCAATAAAAATAAAAGGACTGTTTATATCTTTTATGCACCAGGTTTCATCACCCTGTAGATCATGCTCTCTGCTGCCTCAGTGACTTCTAAATCGTAACACACACATATACACATACCAATTTATTTGCATACTCACCCCCTTTTTAATAATTTTATCCTATGAAAGTTGAGAAAGGAAACTATGTGAATAATTTAATTTCAAAGCATGCAGTTACAATAAAAATATAAAAAATTGAAAGCATTTATGGACAAATTCTGTCACAATATTATTTTTTTTTTAATATTTTTATTTTCTTACCTGCTTATCTTTAAAAGATCTCTTGACTTTTGCTCTCACTTTATGTTTAATCATCATAAATGCTTTATTTTTATTGTGTTCCTTCTGTGTTTTGCTTGAGAAAGGACTTTTGTTTTTTTTCTTTCCAAATTTCTCTCTGCCTTCTCTTCCCTCCTAAAAGAATGAAAGATACTAGTAGGTAAATATTCACCAGAAAAAAATTACTAGTAACAGATACATGTGCATATATTTTAAACTATTTTAAAAGTATTTTTTTTTTTTTTTTTTTTCCCCCTCTCTCTCTCTCTTTCATGAGTAGCTTTCTTAAAATTGAAAACCAATGCAAGCATTTAAAATTTCAAATATCTTCGAACACTTACCAGCACAGTCGCTAATCTGGTTTCTTTGTCTGGCTTGGGCCTTTTGTGTAATTTTTCAATATCTTTCAGAGATACAAGTTCTCTTCCTGGAAAAGAACAAATGTTTGTTAGGAAGTGTCAAAATTACACTATTTTTTTCCCTGACTTCATAAATGCATGTGCAGGAGAGGAAGGAAAAAAGAACATAAGAAAGAAAGCAGTCCTAAAACTAATTTTTGTTCCTAATTTGCAATGTTATTATCCTAATTACAAAACAATTTTAAATTATATCCCCACAGAACAAGTTAAATTCTTTTCCGCCTTAGTTTTTTTTTTTTTTTTTTAAATAGTCTACAGAATACAGTTTATAAATGTTAGAAGAACTCACTCCCAACATATTAACAAGTTCCTATTTGAATTTCAGAAACTAGGATGTCACGGCAGTTGCCATCATCAGGTCTCAAAGTAAACAGTTAAGTAAGAAAACACGTGTTGACAAGCTGCAAGATGAGGCATCTAGCAATGAATAATAAAACAATCCCTACTGCTGATAAAAAAGAACTTCTATATGAAGGTGGCAAATGCTACCAGCATGGTCTAATGGGTTAAAAATCATAACTCATATTAACTCAAATGATTAACTAGTCAGTTTTTACAGTGAGGTTTTTCTTAAAATCAAAATTCTCTCTAGCTGATTGTCATCCTGCATATCTCCACTCATCAGACTTTGTTAATTCATTTCTTTAGAAACATTATACTTTTATGTATAAGCCAAGAACTTTTGGAACATTTTCTAAAGCAAAATTACGGTGGCTGCCTTATATATGGATCCCCTTAAATCACAAAAAAGGTAGGTACTTTTTTGTTAGCTGGACACAAGCAGCAACAAATCATCAAATACAGCATTTTATTTCTTTAGTTTATACTTCTTAAGTTTATGGGAAAAAAATATTTTAAATAGAATGAGTTATTTGTTTTGTAAAAATATATTGTTTTATTTTCAAAATTCTTTACATTGCTGGTTTTGTTGCATAGTCACCAAAACTCAAAATCCAATGCCTGTGAAATTTATACCTCCTAATGGAAAATATTACATGCTACATTTTTGGATTTTGGCATCTAAAGAAGGCATTAAAGAAGGCTTTCCTTCCATTCTCAAACTTGTTTTTAAGTTAAGAGAAATTCTGTGCAGCCATACCATTGTTAGAGTTTTCAACAAATGTGACCATTTGTTATTTGAAATTTGCATATAAGAATATATCTTCTCACTCATCCATCAAACAAAAATAAAACAGCAATGAAAATAACACTGGCACAGATACCACAGATCATATACAATGCAACAAATAAATGAGGAAAATCTGTTAGTTTCAGATAGAGTTACCACAGTTAAAACTATCATCATTCACATTTTATTTTACAGCAATTTTAAGGGAATAATATTCCACTTGATTTACTTGCTCAACCACATTTTTGCCCTCATCACAACATAATTATACATTACAGGATTTTTTCTTTTTCATTTTAGCTGGTACGTAGGTTTTAAAATTTGGGTAAATTTTTGAAGAAAAAATGCACTTTTAGCTTATACATGAATTAGATTATATTCTGAAATACACGGTATACTTTTAAGCCCAGCAACATGGAAGTCATTTTGTATATACCATCGGGTTGATATAAAGGACTGAAGGCAATTTCTATGCCTTCAAACTTGAGCCTTGATTCAAACCTTTGAAAGACAGAGAGAGCTATTTCAAATTTTAGTATCTGGAAAACTATTACAAAAATATCTTGTATCAGAAAAAGATGCATTTGCTACACATCTGCAACATGATGTAAACTCAATTTATCATTGATTGGAAATTTAGGTACTATGTAATCACGGTGTTGTAAAACATGCAAGTTTTGAACTTACATAGCTAATTAACAAAGGTCATAAATAAATTAATCTTTTTACTTCCTTGAGCGAAGTAAAAAGGAAGTATTGCAATCGCGAAAAATTTCAGGCAACATATTTCAACGAAAATATCCATTTTGACCACTATAGAATACAATTTAACATTGTTTTTGCGTGATATCTGTCCGTAAGGACAGAATAAAAGACTCTTTTCCTCCAAAAAAGTTATTAAACAGCTTTAAAATTAATTCTGAAGAGAATTTTTCATGGCGTCTGTATGAACGTACGTACGTGCGTACGTACATTACGTATCTCGCATAACTCAAAAACGAGTAGCCTTAGAACGTTGAAATTTTGTATATAGGACTGCTATAACATGTAGATGTGCAGCTCATATTTTCGTTGTAATCGGCCGCATCAAACGTATATAAATATATTTATATATATATCCACTCTGTTACCCAGCTCAGTGATCTCAGTTTCTTTACTCTTATATGTTTGTAGATTGTACATTTTTTGCTTTAAAAATGATTGAATTATGTTGTTTTTATCTTCCGGTTAAGGTTTTTATGCCTTTCGTAATTCTGGAAGCAATATTTGTACAATTATCAACAATTTAAAAGCTGTTTAAGTGCGTTTAAGTTTTAAATAACATGGTGGACATATTTGTTTACATTTGAAACAGCAGAATTGTAGATTTGTTGCCAATCTAGAGAGACTAAGCTTCGCAACACAAAAATAACTGCTTCATTTATTATTGCGAATTAAATCGTGCTTAATCCTTTCTGAAATTTTTTCGAGGAAATAAGTGTTTAAGATTTACTTTGTAATTTTTAATACAGATATTTTGAGTTTTTATGTATTTTTGCCTTGTCGCGAAGTGAGAACTGAATTAAATGAATGAGAAATACTAAATCATCCGAGAAAAACTGTTTCTTTTCTGTTTTGTTTGCTTAATTTCTTTCATACATCGTTTTAGCTTTATTATAGTATTTAAATAGAACATGTGGCAACGATAATTCTTCAAATGATATAAATTTTGTGCATTCAGAGTGTCGTTATAGTAAACAAATATAGTGAATTTTAAAGAGTGCATTTATTCTATTGTGGTTTATGCGCTGTCGACGAAGTAGCTTTAATTCAATCCAATCAATTTAAATGAAATTCAAGAAAAAAGATGCGTATAATTTAATATTCCGTACAAGGAAGTCATGTGATGTACACATCAGATTTTTTTATAAAGTTTTACAGATAAAATGCATTCTAAAAAATGCATTCTAAAAATGTTTAGAAAAAGGAAGATCTGTAACTGTATGAGATTACCTCTGTATTAATTGTCAAATTCATGCTCATTGATCTGATATTCTTTTAGTAAAAATCATATCTTTTGATTCCATTTATTCCTAAAGTGCCATTAACATTTTCATGTACAACCTGCCATCAATTATTTGGATGTCGGTTTTTTGGTTATGATGAAAGTCAGCTATATAATATTTCAGTAGGCTATTTGGATTTGTTGAATTATACAAAAGCACACTAGGACTATCTGCTTAAAGGAAGGAACACCTTTGTGGAGTACCTACTCAGGATTTAGTTCATATCTACCTTTGTACATTAGGAAATACCTGAGAATCTCGTGCAGCCAACTCGTTCATCGCATGGGCACTGGTGCTAGTTCAGGAGGAGAATGTTAATGGAAACTAGTTCTTTATGCATCAGTCATTGGAAGATCCAAATTAAAAATTATACCCAGAAAATTTAAAGGCATTTTTTTTTTTTTTTTTTTTTTTTTTTTTTTTTTTTTTTTTTTTTTTTTAAGAAATAATATATAATTGCAGTGAACCCTCTTAGAAACCCTGGTATCTCCCTAAGATGACAGTGTTTCTGATAATAGAAATAACCATGTTTTTTTTCCTTATGTAAGATGACCACATCCACACAAGATTAAAAATTGTCTGAAATCTTGAGTGGCTGTTTTAAAGAGGATTTGCGATTTTTTTAAAAAAAAGTTCGTTAAAGAACCAATCACATATTTCTGATTCTAAAAATGTTTTTGAAAACCATAGATGTGGATATATCATCAGTTAATCTTAAGGGGCTGTACAATACTAAATTTAATTTTGTATAAAATTATGTTTTCTGAAGACTAATGTATAGGTACAGAACAGAAGAGAGAGGGAAAAAAAAAAAAATGGTGCTAGTTCAGGAGGAGAATGTTAATGGAAACTAGTTCTTTATGCATCAGTCATTGGAAGATCCAAATTAAAAATTATACCCAGAAAATTTAAAGGCATTTTTTTTTTTTTTTTTTTTTTTTTTTTTTTTTTTTTTTTTAAGAAATAATATATAATTGCAGTGAACCCTCTTAGAAACCCTGGTATCTCCCTAAGATGACAGTGTTTCTGATAATAGAAATAACCATGTTTTTTTCCTTATGTAAGATGACCACATCCACACAAGATTAAAAATTGTCTGAAATCTTGAGTGGCTGTTTTAAAGAGGATTTGCCGATTTTTTTAAAAAAAAGTTCGTTAAAGAACCAATCACATATTTCTGATTCTAAAAATGTTTTTGAAACCATAGATGTGGATATATCATCAGTTAATCTTTAAGGGGCTGTACAATACTAAATTTAATTTTGTATAAAATTATGTTTTCTGAAGACTAATGTATAGGTAACAGAAGAGAGAGGAAAAAAAAAAAAAAAAAATGACAATCATAAGGGGGTTTGTCAGAGAATCAGTAGCAAATGGGAATCAATGACATAGATTTCAAAAAGTGGAATTGGTCAAGACCACAGATCTTTTAATCATCACACCTATTTCATTTATTTGCATAGCTCTTACTTTTTTTTCACTTCTTCGTATTTATATGCACATTCCATTATCTATATAAACTTAAGTTACATTCCTTAATACATTAAATTGAAAAGCAAATTTGTACAATTTTTGTGTATAAATACTGGACATTAAATTTTTTAATTTATTTTGGCACCAAAGCGGTACAGTCGCTGAACACTTGTATTTCGACACGGTGAACAAGCTGGCTACATGAGATTCTCGGAAATTTCCTAATGTATAACATGGATACGAACCAATTGATGAGAAGGCACTAAGCAAAGACTTTCCTTCCTTTAAACAGATAGTTCTAGTATGCTTTTGCTATAATTTAATAAATCCAAATAACCTGCTGAAATATTATGTAGCTGAATTTCATCATAACTAACAAATTGACATTAAAATAATTGACTGCACGCTGTACATGAAAATGTTAATGGCATTTTAAGAACAATAACGGAACCAAAACACATAATTTTCACTAAAAGAATATCAGATTAACAAACGTGAAAGAAAATACTTTCACAATTAATGAAAATTTTTACAGAGGTAATCTTATGTAGTTACATATCTTCCTTTTTCTAAACGTTTTTAGAATACATTTTTCATGAAAATTTATCAGTAAAATTTTATTAAAAAAAAGATTACTTTATTTAAGACCTTTATTGATTTACTATGCACGTTTAAAATTTCTATCAAGTACTATAAATATATGCAAATCTGAATTTTCCTTTTTAGGATGCCTGCAAAACCAGTCTTCTAGCCTACCATTACAGGTGCATTATCAGCACCATATGCTAAGCAATTATCTAGAGGAATTGCATTTTCTTTTAAAGTTTTAATTATTCGTTGAGCTATATTAAAGCTTGTCAAATGTCCTTATAAAGTGGGAATAGAAAGTAAACTACATTCAATTACTGAAGACACAAAATTAAAAAAAGAAACAACAACTGGATACAGTTTTGAATCGATATTATTGCTTCTATCTGTACTGAGGCAGAATGGAACAGTTTTAATGTGATCAGTAATTAAAGATTTATTTTTCATACCTATTTCTTGCTAAGATACGACTTTTCTTTTATATGTAATCTACCAAGAAACTAAGTGCTTTCAAATGCCCAAAAATCTTTTTATTTATTTATTTTGGTGCAAATAACAAATAAGCCAAGCTACATAAAAATTGTCAGAAATTTTAAGAATAAGAGAAAGTCAAGAGAAATATGTTACAAATTAAGTTAGTAGAAGAACGGTTGAAAAACGGAAGTCTCCCACCTAATTTGAGAGAGTTGGCAATTCTGATATGGCCTTCAAATAAATAACAAAGAATGTGGGACAATAAAGCAGAATTTTTAATTTGTAAAATTTACTTTAGCTATCAAAATAGTCATACAGAATAATCAGATCTTTAACAACAGAAAATATTTTTAAACTGCTATTCTTATACAGAGAGAATTTATTTATTAACACAACAAAATATTTTCATTTATTAAATGGCACGTAACAAAATTTACTAAAGAAATAAAAGTATACATAGAAACATTTTACATTACAAGTCAAAAAAATGAAATATAATATCAGAAAAATGGTTAGTAAATCAGCAAAACTGTGGGAAAAGTGGGAACTAATACTAGTATATGCAAGATATATAAATTAGGAAAGATGTATGAAATATGAACAGACTTACCTTTGAATGTCTGCTACGTTAACATTATCAGCTTTTCTCTTTTTTCCTTTGGCAAACTGGAGTTCCTTTGCAACTTGAGCAACTTTTAATTTCTTGAATTCTTCCTGCGATAAGATACGAGATTGTGATATAGCTATTGCTTTTTCTTTATTATCAACACTTGGCTGAGAAGTCTTTGATTCTGTGTTTTCTGATTTCTCTTTTTCAACATTTGAATTTTCACTAGTTGTCTGACTCTTATCTTGATTTACATCAGTTTTACATTCATCAGACTTTTCCTCTACTGTAGATGAACTCTCTTCATCTTTTGCTTCCTTTAAAAATACATGAATAAACTATGTTACTAAATAAATGATTTCAGCAATCCCTTTTCTTCATTTTGGAACTAAAAGAACACGATAACTAGATGTGAACAAAAAAGGGACTAATTATTGCACAGCAATTTCCACTGATTAACAACAGTAAAAAAAAAGGGAGGATAAAAGTACAAATTATGATATCAATCAAGCTGGAATTATTTTGGAATGATACGGTGACAGGGAAAAATAAAGAGATAAGAGAAATAAGTAAAATTTCTACATTTATTATAATAATTTTCATTATCAACATAATCAGAAGACTCTTATAATTATGAAAACTTTAATTAGTGCAGTGTTAAAATTTTCTATATCCAAAGTAGATAGACACAAAAATTTTAACTTGAACATAAGAACAAGATAATTCAATCACTTTTAAAGCAAAAAACACATAACTTACCAACATATAAGAATAAAAAAAAATGAGCTCACTGGAGCAATGTGACAGAATGGATATAACAGAGTGGATATGTAATGAAAGCAAATTTTAGAAGTACTGATATAGGAACACTTAGATGCAGAAGCGTATCAACGTTGTTTGGCATAGATACTTGCTTGTGTTTAAGTGTTGACCCATACTGAAGAAGTTAAGACGGATTAAATTTCATTTTTATTTAAGTTCACATTTGTGGCCACAATTCATTTGTCACCCTAATTGTGCTTATTCAAGAACATTTAATTTTTTAATACTATTGCAATAGGAAGAGAGTACAGCAGCATCCAAGCAGAACAGAGGGTAATGCTAAAAGTACGCATTTATTCAATATAGCAGTCTGTTAAGAGAATGGTTTTGGTTTAAGTTAGAAAGGTTTTAGTTCTCAGTTTAGGTTTCCAATTAACTACATCATCAGAGTTAAACAAGCTTTGTGGCACAGAATAATCTAGAAATGGCGCAATCCAGAAATGTTGTTATTTTTAGAATAGAGATATGAAATACCCAAATTAAAAATGTGGAATTAAGAAGTTATTAATAAATTAAATTATAAAGCTGATAAACATATTTTTTATCTTACACAAATACTCACACCTACTCTGTATGCATCCATATATCTAGACAAGAAAGTGGTTAGTGACTTTGACTGCCATATCAAAAGGCCCATGTTTAAATCCTGCAGAAGGCATGGATGTAAATTGTGTGTTTCTTCATAGGAGGCAATGGCTGCCCAACGCTTCCAGTCTCAGTAGTTGTTAAAGCTTATAACGGCTAGTGCCCACCATTGGAGGGGGAGATTTAAACATCTTTGGTGGGGCCAATTGTAGCCAAAAAAGGAGGTGCACAACTACATGTTATAGCAGTCCCATATATAAGCTTTCAACGTTTTACGGCTAATTGTTTTTGAGTTATGCAAGACACATACGTACTTACAGACATCACAAAAAAAAAAAAAAAAAAAAAAAAAAAAAGTCTTCTGAATCCGTTTTAAATCCATTTTACAATTCATTGTAAAAAAAAAAAAAAAGTCCTTTATTCTGTCCATACATACAGATGTCATGCAAAAACATTGTTCAAATGGATTTAAGCGTGGTAAAAATGGATATCTTTGTTGAAATCCAATACACAAAACTTTTTGAGTTATATTTTATTTACTTCATACAAGAAAGTACAAACAGGCAAGGTCACTGCAAATGCATGACTGGCTGTATTTTTACTTCATACATGCCATTTTAAGACTTGGTATCATTTCATGTATAATGATGCAAATATAATATCCTTATATTTAATGACTTGTGAACAAATTTAAGAGAAAAAAATCTGATGTGTACACCACATGACTTCTTTGTACTTTTGGAATATCAAATTATACGCATTTTTTCCTGCATTTCATTTAAACTTACTAAATTGAATTAAATCTACTTTGTCGATAGCGCATAAACCAAAATAGAATAAATGCGCTTTTTAAAATTCACTTTATTTATTTACTGCTTATTACTGGCGCTAGGTTCACTTAACAGCGTTACATCTCATTCCTTTTATGACTCAGAATGCACAAAAATTATATCATCTGAAGAATTATTTAATCGTTGTCATGAATATAAAATTTGAACATTCTGAGGCTATTCGGTTTTGAATTATGCGAGATTCATTCATACATACATCTGTACGAAAAAATCCCATCTGAATCTATTTTAAACCAGTTTTATAATTTCTTTGGGAAAAGAGTCCTTTATCTGTCCTTACATACAGATGTCAAGCAAAAACATCGTTAAATTGCACTCGATAGCGATCAAAATGGATATTTCGTTGAAATATGGTACCCGAAATTTTTTGAGATTACAATACCACACTTCGTAAAGGAAGTACTTCGTATACATTTAATATTATATATATATATATATATTGTTATTATTTATATTACATACATATATATTATAACAGCTCAAAAACATTAAATGCTAAACTAAAATTGATTACAGTTCGAAAAAGAAAAATTTTTTCTAAAAAATGAAGTAATGACTTGAGATGGAGCGTCTTTCCTCTGCCGCCGAGCATGCACTACATGACCCAACAATAGGTTGTAATTACGATTACAATTATAATGGACCACTTTCTACAATATTTTTATTATGACTCCAGACAAACGGGCTGACTGCAGGGGCATGTTCATGATTTTCCCCAAGTGTAATGTGTATTATACCAGGCAGTTTCTCTTAGCAAGTCTTCCCTGAAGGCATCCCTACCCTTAGGCAGATAGCCCCAGTGTACTTTCCCATAATCTATCAAACCCAAAACTTAACTTATTATAATGCTCTAGACAGAGAAATACAACTGAAAATAAGCAGCGATTAAGGACACCGACATGCTCCACTGTTGATGATTCATACATAACTTACGACATCTTGAAAATGTTACTATTATATTCTACTTTTGATAGGAATCTTTACAATAGCACAAATAGTTAATTAAAATGCACTTTATATGTTATTTATATTACATGTTATATTTTTAAATAAAATAAGCTTGAGAATGGAAATTTGAGAAAACCATGAAAAAGAAAATATATATTTATTGTATTTGAGCGTGCTTATCGATACATCCTATATTTATAACAAAGACCATCTGTTTTCCTATACTTAATCTACATTGTCTCACAAAATGCATAATACTGCAAGTGATACAAGGATAATAATATAGAATACATCCAAAGCCTAAAAACATTTTCGTAATAGTTAATGTGCGCAGATTTTAAGGCGCAAATGCTGAAACAGTTGTCATTACATGTTTTACACATTCGTAACATACTCAGTTTTGTCAAAATTATTTCAGTATTTCTAGGCTATGTGGTTCGCCTATAAGGTTTTGCGCTATAATTATCTCCAAAACATTTTCAGATTATTTAAAGAAGTAAAATCTGCATATAAATGCTGTGCAAATGAAATCAGTATTGTTCAAAAGACAACTGTACTTTTAATTAACAGTTAATTTAGTCAATCTAATTTTAAGAGTTAACTATGGCCTGGTTAGAACTGTAGAAGTCGCTATTTTCAACAGGTATACATGAAAATGATGGCAAAAGAATAGATTAATAAACGTTGGAGAAGACTTTACTCCTAGGAAGAATTTTTTTATTCCACTTACATTTTCAAGCTTGAACCATACTATGTCGTCAGCTTTATCCTTGAACTGAATATATATATACCCACATGGTCAATCATTATAAAAATTACGAAGATGCCAAATAAAATGTCAAAGTTTAACAGATTAAAGAAATACTGATGAAGAATTTCCTAAAACAAGATTTTATAGTCACTAATTTTCAACTTCACGTTATGTCGTCAACTTAGCCCTTGAACTTAACACATATATGCACCCGGCCAATCATTACAAGAATTGTGAAGATGGCACGTAAAATGTCAAAGTTTATCTCAAGAGCAAAATGTCAAGCTCATCAAAGAGGCCTATTTCCGGGTTGAACTATGCTGATATCCTCTCGCAGAAAAGGCCGGCAACTAGGAAAAAAAAAAGAACGTTGATCCTGAGAGGAAACAGGAAAATGAATACTTTTTTTAAAATTTGTTTTGGTTAGTTAAATATCTAGAACACTGATCTCCTAATGAATAATGCCATTCACAATTCCAAGGCACATTTATAACTAGTATACACACTAATTAATAATGCACAATACCATAAAGATATTATTCCAAAATGATAGCTATTTAACATACAAAATTCTTGTTTGAAATAAAGCAAAAGATTACGTAATTCACGCATACACAAAATTGATGTGTAGCCATATAAGAAACAAGTAGAAAGTAGAAAAAAAAAAAAAAAAGAAACATTAAATATGTGGGGGAATAAGCATACGTAAAATGAATACTTATGATAAAAAAATCTGATGTATACACCACATAACTTCCTTGTATGGAATATTAAATTATATGCATTTTTTCTTGTATTTCATTTAAACTTATTGGACTGAATTAAATCTACTTCGCCGACAGCGCATATACCCCAATAGAATAAATACATTCTTTAAAATTCACTCTATTTGTTTACCATAGCAACACTCTGGCGCTAGATTCACTTAACAGTATTATATTTCATTCATATTATAATTCAGAATGCACAAAATTTATAACATTTAAAGAATTACCTAATTGTTGCCACATGTTCTATTCAAATACTATAATAAAGCTAGAATGATGTATAAAAGAAATTAAGCAAATAAAACAAAAAAGAAACAGTTTTTCACAGACCATTGAGAATTTCTCATTCAATTAATTCAGTTCTCACTTCACGACAAGGCAAAAATACATAAAAACTCAAAATATTGGGTTGGCAACTAACTAATTGCGGATATTTTTTAGAAAATCAAAGACAATTTTTTCATGGAACTAAATAACTTTATTCTGTAATGTATTGCCCATTTTGATCCATGACCTTTTGCCATCTTTCAGGTAGCAGCATTGCATAATCCCACGTTCATAAAACTGCCTGGTTTTTATTAGCAAAAAAACTG